CGGGGGGGGGGGGGGGGGGGGCGATCCGGGGGCGGGGCCTGACGCCGGGCTCGGCGGTCCAGTCCCCGCCAGGCCTGGCCGGACGGGGCGGGGCGACCCGGAAGGGCCCGCGCCAGGGCCGCCGGTCTCCCCAGGACGGGAGGACCCACTGTCCGGCCGGCCTCCTCCACAGGCGACTGCGGCCAGGATGGGCCGGAAGGTGACCGTGGCCACTTGCTCGCTGAACCAGTGGGCGCTGGACTTCGAGGGCAATTTGCAAAGGATTTTAAAGAGTGAGTTTGGGGGCGGCGGGGGGAGGGGGACAGGAGGAGGGGCAAAGGTCCACTCTTGCTCGTGACGCACGCGCAACCTTGCCCTGCAGAAACCCGCAGCGGTGGGCGTGGGGACAGATAAGATAATGATGACCACGACCGTGTGAGTGCCCAGGTCCTCCTCTAGAATGGGGGGCGGGGGTTACAGTGCCTGAGGACACGTGGTGTGTGCACGTAATAAGAAAAGCCTGGCTGGCCGAGGAGTGGAGAGGGGGAGGGCTGGGGCGTACCTGTCTTCAGATATCTCTGGGGTCCCAAGTGGCTTATCTAGAGCTGAGCTGCCCATCCTCGGAGGCATTTAAGGGGAGAGTCGCCAGCCTCCAGGGATGCTGTTGTGAAGAAGTGTCCTAGAGTGAGTGGTCTCTGGTGCCTGACAAGCTTCCTGGGGGGCAGACATTTGGGGAAGCTGGCCCAAAGAGGGAAGTGGAATAAGGGGTGAGCCCGTGAGCTTAGAGACTAGGGTGTGGCCACATGGATTCACCATGTAATTATTGCTCACTTTCAGGAGTGAAAGTTTGCACTATTCATTTGCACTATTCATACTTAACCCCTAACGTGGGGCCATCCTGGGCAGCCCTGCGAGTGTGGCCATCCCAATTCTCTTGTACTGAGCAGCTTCCTGCAAGAGGGTTTTCCAAGAGCAGAAATGTGAAAAAATGATTCAAGTGAGGACATCTTATCAGCCATGTGCCTCGGACTTTCATCCTTTTTATTTTTTTGATATCAGCCTGGTTTCATTTCATCAGAGGTCAGAGTAAATCTAATTGGGGTGACGAGGGGCGGTCTTGGGTGGCCAGAGCTGATCCTCTGCTCAGCTGGCCTGTCCCCCTTGGACTGCACCCAGAAGCTGCTGCCTGAACCCACAGGTCATTGTGCCCGGGGCTGGTACCGCTGTAGGTCCCGCCTCCTCCCTGCACGTGGTTGCATCTGCTTGTGAATAAACTGTCAGGATGTGACTTCTTCCTCCTCCTCCATGGTGCTCAGGGTCTGCCGTGCGGGCCCTGCGAGTTTCTCGTTTCTTGCAGGTGTAAGCAGGCTCTGGGAGATGGTGGAGTGGTTTTTTCCCTTGTTTTTTTTTTTATCCTACCTGCCGCAGGCTTTGACAAAGCTGTAGGTGCTGACATTGCCCCTTTCTTTCTCTGTACATGTAGGTATCGAAATTGCCAAACACAAAGGAGCAAGATACAGGCTTGGACCAGAACTGGAGATATGGTGAGAACAGAACACACATTCACCCCTGGGTGGGCAGGTAGAGGTGTGTGCATCAGCTCCGCTCCACCGCACTGGGAACTGGTGTTCAGAGCTGCGGCTCTGCGGGTCCGTTTAGGAGGCCATCAGAAACCTGTGAGTGGGCCTGCTTAGTGCCATTGACCAAGAGCAGGCCCAGCAAGGCCGGGTGATCCTAGGTTCCTGTGCTGAGTAACCAGAGGAGGTGAGTTCTACGAGGCCACGGCTGATTTCAAAGCTGGGCTGCTTCTCCTTTACCACCATGCTTCCCTGGTCGTCATTTGCACACTTGGCCGTGAACAGGTTACATTTAGTGGTCTCAGCATCTTTCCGTAAGCGAGCGTAGGCGATCCCTTCTGCTCTGCCTTTTTGCCATAATTGGGAAAGCTGATTCCTTGATTCTCTTCTTGTCTCTTATTCAATAACAATCAGTTGGCTGCCACACGGTGAGTCTCCCGCAGCTGTGGTTCTGTTCTGACTTCGGCCGTCGGCTGCCCTCTGTGCTGCTGTTCCTTTCGTCTTTGCCGCTCCTGCCCCGTTGTGGAGTCTGAAGTCCATCCTCTGCCTGTGCCCCTGCCTCGCTTCCTTCTTGTTTCTGGAGTTAGTGTAAGCAGACACTGCCTTCTCTCGGGTGTTTTTGGATTAGTCCTTGAGGCAACTTTTCCGTCCGTTCCAGATCATTGTCCTTGTTACGCTGATTTCTCTCCTTGGAATCCTGACGTCATCTCGGGCTGTGTCTCCCGTAATATCTGAGAGCATCGACACCCCTCCTTTGGTTTGTTCTCTAAGAAGTTCCCTGTCTGCCTGCCCGGGCCCTGGGATCCTGGTTGCCTAAGATTGGGTAGCTTTAGTTACCTCTGCTCCTGAACGCCTGCTTCGTCTTTCTGTTCTGTCTGTCCCTTCCCTCTGGAGGGGCTGCAGTAACAGCCCAGCCCTCCTGGCATCATCCCCGTCCACACACTTCCACATTAGCTCCTCATCCCTTTCTTTGTCGTCTTCTCCATGCCCCGCCCTCCCCGACCCGCCTCCCCAGGATGGTGTATTCACATCAAGCAGGGTTAAGGGCCCAGCTGAGCTGGGCTCCATGCGGTTTAGACTGTGCCGAGCCAGCTCACATTTGTTATTTGCACCCGTTGACAGAGAGGAAAGTCATATCCATTACCAAGTATACCCTCTTGCTGTCCCTGCTGGTGAGGAGTCCAGCTCCCACCCCAGAAGGGGCACCTGGAAGGAGAATGAGGGGCTGCTGCCCCCCAGGGTGGGCTGACTCATGGATCTAGAGGTCCTGCCCCAGAAAGGCCGGCTGTTTTCTTTGAGCCAGCTTTGTAGGCTTTGTCGATGGAGGGCTGCCACCCACAATGGGCCCCGGGCACTTCCTGATCGCCCCCGTTATAAAATGCCCTTCTGTTTGCCGGGCAGCCAAAGGAGTGAGAGGTCAGCCGATGGCTGGAAATCAGGCAGCAAGACGTCTGGCGTTGCCTTGTTATTTGGTGTCACGTGTGGCCTGGGCGCTACCAGGGAGCGAAAATCCATGAAACAGGAGTCTGTCTGCTGGAGAGGAGAGGACATCCTGGATCTCCATCCCTCACGGGGCATCTCCTTGACCCTCTTTTCATCAAGAACCAGAGCCAAAGGCCGAGGGGAATGCTTTTCCAGGCACTAAAAATGGCATGTGCCAGTTTGGGGATTTCTGTTCGTGTGTGCAAAGTTTGCTCAGCATTTGAAACACCACTCCCTGGCTGCTGGGCAGTAGGAAGGAAAACTTGTGGAAGATTTAGAAGAGGGTTCTAGATGCTCTGCATTTTGTTACGGGAACTCCCATCCTAAGAGATGGCTCTCACCCGGTCTTCACGCTTTGTGAGATCGTTGAGCGTTGCATGTGTTTTCTGGGGCTGCTGTTGCAAAGTCCACAAGCTGGGTGGTTTGAAACAGTAGGAACTTATTCTTTCACAGTTTAAGAGGGCAGAAGTCCACAATCTGGGTGTCAGCAGGGCCCTGCTTCCTCTGACGGGGTTCGGGAAGGGTTCTTCCTGCCTCTTTGTGCTTCCAGCTCCCAATTCCTTGGCTTATGGCTGCATCGCTCCGGTCACTGCCTCCGTCTTCATACGGCCTTCTTCCCTCTTTATGTCTCTTGTAAGGACACTTGTCATTGGATTTAGGGCCCACCCAGATAATCCAGGATCGTCTCATTTTGAGACCCTTAATTTAATTACATCTGTTAAGACCTTTTATCCAAATAAGGTCACAATCACCGGTTCCGGAGCTTGGGACGCGGACATACCTTTTTGGGGGACACCATTCAGCCCCTTTCAAATATCTATAGCAAGAAGCTCAGGGCAGCTATGTGAGCGGCATTTTGAGAGGTTATTAATGACCTTCCTTGCCCGAAGAATGTTTTCCTGGGGCGTCAGCTTTGCTTCTTTTGCATCCTTTTCTTGTAGAGCAGTGTGATTTGGGCCACATTAAAGGTTAAAAAAAAATTCCAAGAGCAGACACATTTTGACACGAGAGAGATTTCTCACAGTAGCTTAAAACTAAGAGAAATGGGCAGGGGCCTCATGTTTCTTAATTTCCCATAAAATACATGGGTTTTTGTGGCAGTGATCCTGGCTCTGCTACACTGCCGAGTCATGCTGGAGGCTGTCGGAAGATAGCAAGGCTGGAGTCGCAGCCCTGCACACTCCGACTTGATTGGCCCACAGGCCCCTGCCCGCACCCCCACCCTGGGCGCACCTGCTACATCTCTGGGGCTCACCTGTCTGCTCCCTCCCTCTGCAGCGGCTACGGGTGCTGGGATCATTATTACGAGTCGGACACCCTCTTGCATTCGCTGCAAGTCCTGGCTGCCCTTTTGGAATCTCCGGTCACTCGCGATATCATCTGCGATGTGGGAATGTAAGTGCCACCGTGAGCGCGTGACAAGGTGAGCTCGGGAAAGGGCGAAGTTCGAGGACGTGATATAGCCAACGCCATCCTCACGTCAGGGATGTGGAATCTGTGCGTTTCGAAAGATACGAAGGCCTTTTGTGGAGAAGTGGGTTTATTCCTTCCCCAGCTGCACACACCTAATTCCCCCACCGGAGGCAGCTCTTGGAAGCGGTTTTGGTATGTTTTTCCAAAAGCAGCTATGCACGTGTGTGCACACTTTACACAGTGGGAGCATAGTGCTCACTTTGTCACGTATAGCACTTTCTTCACGTGATGGCAAATCTTGAGATGGTTCCACGTCACTCCATGTTGACATGCCAACCATATGGTTCCAGGTGGTGCAGGTCCCATAGGTGTAAATTCCATAGGTATAGATCCATATGGTGTGGGTTCCATAGGTGTAGGTCCATATGGTGTAGGTTCTGTAGGTGTAGATTCCATAGGTGTACATACGTAGGTATAGATCCATATGGTATAGGTCCGTAGATGTAGATCCATAGGTGTAGATCCATATGGTGTAGGTTCCATAGGTGTAGGTCCGTATGGTGTAGGTCCATAGGTGTAGATCCATGGGTGTAGGTCCATATCATGTAGGTTCCATAGTGTAGGTCCATATGGTGTAGGTTCCATAGGTGTAGGTACGTAGGTGTAGGCATATATGGTGTAGGTTCCATAGGTGAAGGTACGTAGGTATAGGTATATATGGTGTAGGTTCCATAGGTGTAGGTACGTAGGTGTAGGCATATATGGTGTAGGTTCCATAGGTGAAGGTACGTAGGTATAGGTATATATGGTGTAGGTTCCATAGGTGTAGGTACGTAGGTGTAGGCATATATGGTGTAGGTTCCATAGGTGAAGGTATGTAGGTGTAGGTATATATGGTGTAGGTTCCATAGGTGTAGGTACGTAGGTATAGGCATATATGGTGTAGGTTCCATAGGTGTAGGTACGTAGGTGTAGGTATATATGGTGTAGGTTCCATAGGTGTAGGTACGTAGGTGTAGGTATATATGGTGTAGGTTCCATAGGTGTAGGTACGTAGGTGTAGGTATATATGGTGTAGGTTCCATAGGTGTAGGTACGTAGGTGTAGGCATATATGGTGTAGGTTCCATAGGTGTAGGTACGTAGGTGTAGGTATATATGGTGTAGGTTCCATAGGTGTAGGTACGTAGGTGTAGGTATATATGGTGTAGGTTCCATAGGTGTAGGTACGTAGGTGTAGGTATATATGGTGTAGGATCCATAGGTGTAGGTACGTAGGTGTAGGTATATATGGTGTAGGTTCCATAGGTGAAGGTACGTAGGTGTAGGCATATATGGTGTAGGTTCCATAGGTGTAGGTACGTAGGTGTAGGTATATATGGTGTAGGATCCATAGGTGTAGGTATATATGGTGTAGGGGGCGTGTGGTGTAGGTTCGTGTGGTGAAGGTCCATATGGTTCCGTAGGTGCAGGTACACAGCTGTAGGTATATATGGTGTAGGGAGCATGTGGTGTAGGTACGTAGGTGTAGGTATATATGGTGTAGGTTCCATAGGTGAAGGTACGTAGGTGTAGGCATATATGGTGTAGGTTCCATAGGTGAAGGTATGTAGGTATAGGTATATATGGTGTAGGTTCCATATGGTGTAGGTTCTGTAGGTGTAGGTTCCATATGGTGTAGGTTCTGTAGGTGTAGGTTCCATATGGTGTAGGTTCCACAGATGTAGGGGGTACGGGTAGGCCTCAGGCCCAGTGCTGTGTCTGTGTATGTGTCTGATGCATACCGTGCGTAACCACAGCCCGCTGATGGGCTTCTGTGTTGTTTCTCTTGACTCCTTCAGTTCTGTCTTATGTGATGTGAACGTTGCCACCTCTGCTTTTTTTCTCTCGGTTTTTGCCTGGTGTGTGTTCTGCCACTTCATTTCACCCTCGCTGTGACATCTGCTTGGTAGGGTCTCTCTTAAGCAGCACATCTGTGGGATTTTTAATCCAATTTGTTCACGTTTATTATAATTTGTGATACGTGGACTGTGTTCGTCTCCCATTGCTGCTGTGACAAATCACCACAAATATAAAACACAGCTTTTTTGTCTTATTTTTCGAGAGGTCAGAGCTAAAATGGATCAGCAGGGCTGGTTCCCTCTGGAGTCTCTTGGAGGAGAATCTGTTTCCCAGCCTTTTCCAGCTTCTAGAGGCTGCTGCGTTCCTCAGCTCGCAGCCCCTTCCTCCACATTCAAAGCCAGCAATGCATCAGTCTGACCCTTGCTTCCATCCTCACATCTCCTTCTCCGACTCACCTCCTCCTGATATCAAACCTGAAGTGAGTTCACTCACCCGTTGCACAGCAAGCCAATCTGTGACGCCAGGTGTAGTGGAAGAAAGTAGGAATTTTATTATTGCCCAGTGCTGAGCGAGGAGAATGCGCAGCTAACGCTGAAATCCCAAACTCCCCAAAAAGCTAAAAGGAAGGGTTTTTATTTGGGATTTTAGGGAGGGGAGGGGGAGCATATGGCCTTGCTGGTTGGAGCTTTCCCACTAGCTTGTCCTTTGGCCTTGAGACTCTTGCAGAAAGGAGGGAGCCCATGACCTTGCTGGTCAGCAGCTTTCCCACCAGCCTGTAGCTCCTTGCAGGGAGGAGATAACAAATCCAGGTGCTTGTCCTTGGCGTTGTCTGTCTCCATGGAGGATAGTGGATTCTGGAGCCAGGAAGCCAGGGATTAAGCAGGGAAAGAGTGTTTTGGTTTTAACTGCATGTATGCTGGGCTTGATGTGGGGGAACTGATATCAGGGTTGATGTCACTCCCTCATATAAGGACCCTTGTGATTACATCGAGCAGATTCTCTCGCCGTCTGAGGATCTATAAGTTAGTTATCATATCTGCAAAGTCCCTTTTGCCGTAGAAGGTGACATGTTCACAGGTTCTAGGATTTAAGACGTAGACACTACTAGGGGGCCATTCGTCACCCTACCAGATGGACCGATTCTTCTCACCTAATTATTAAGTTTCCTAGACATCATTTTTTTTGTTGGGTTTTTTTGCTTATTTGTTTTCTTTGCTCCACTTTGCTCTGCTGGCTTTGAATTTATAATACCATTTTTCTTTTTCCAGTTTTTACCCTTAAAATGTTAGCAATCATATTAGAAGATAGTTTTCTTTTGAAATCTAGCATTTATCTGCATCTGTAACCTCCACTGAACAAAACAACAGTTTTATCCTGATGTTGTTGACGTCTGCCATCTCGAATCGTCTTTCCAAGATGCTCTCCAGGAACGAGGCGTCCAGTCCCGTTCCCGCGCTCTGTGGCTGGAGGCGCGGTATCCTTGATCACGTGGGATTTGTTCTTACAAACGGAATAAAGAAGATGTTAGAGTGATGGATAGTTTAAAAAAAAAAAGAAGAACTATCTTATTTATTTGCTTTCATTACTTACAAAGTTGAACATTTTTTCCGCTTATTGGTCATTTGGGGCGCCATTTACTCGTTCTCTTGGCTACAATTGAAGTGTTTGTGTGTAATTTAAGAGTTCTTTAGCTATGAAAGGTGTGCTTGGTTTCCAAAATGGGCCCCCGTACCTGGAGGGCAAGGAGAGACGGAAGAGAGAGGCACCTCAGTCCAGATGGGTGGGTGGCGGGTTTAAAAAGCAAGGGGACTGACGCAGAAGGCTTGTCTTGGGCGAATGCAAGACGAGTGAGTCTCTGCGTCCTCTTGCCAGCATGCTAAAAGTTTACATAGACCTCCCACAGATGTCAGCCTGTTATGAGAAAAGTACTTTTCCTTGTGTGTTTGCTATTTAATTTTATGTTTTAAGCTTTAAATTTCTGTGGTGCTTTTTGTTTGTTTTTGCGAGAGAGGCTCATTTAGTTAGAAATCAGATATTCACCGTAGGTGTCTGTGTTACTTAAAATATGTGTCTCCCTCATGCTGTGCACGCGTTTCCTGCAATGCGAACAGGAGCGTGGTTTGGTTTGGCTCCGGTGGGGAATGGAAACCGTGATGATGCGAGGGCTTCAGGTGGCTGTCCATGTCTGTGGGCAGGACGGGGGCGCCCACTGCATCCTGTCCTCTCATCCACATTGGGAGGAAAAACCGAGGTCGGGGTGGTTTAGCCAGTGCAGGGCTGGGGTCGGCCCTGCAGCCCCGACCTCCAAGCCCGCCCTTTTAACAGCGGTGAGCAGAGCCATTGGCACCAGCCCTGGGCGCGAGGAACCGACAGTGCCTGGGCCAGTGGCCGCTGCCCCATGGCCTGCGTTCTAGAAGGGCCTCAGGTCGGGAGAAGTGCTCTGAAGGAGAATCGGGAAAGCGCAGGGGCTGGTGCAGGAGGCCAGTAGGGGGTGGAGGGGTGACACGGCCGGCGGTGGCAGGTTGCAAAGCAGGGAGGCGGCCACTGGAAGGTCTGAGAACATTCCAGGAGGAGAAGGAAGAGCCCTGAGCAGGGAGCGAGTTTGTGCTCCTGTTAGGAGATTCTCTCCCGTTTTAGAGTCTCCGCCGAGGCAGCAGCGTTTCGGCTTGTGTTTAACTGTGATTTGAGAAAGCTGCCGAGGAGCCTCCTGACTCCCTGTAGGGACCCGAGGAAGGCTCGTGTGCAGACAGAGGGCTGCTCCTGCTGTGTGCAGACGAGCGTGTGCGTCCCTTCTCTCTGCAGGCCCGTGATGCACCGAAACGTCCGCTACAACTGCAGGGTGATCTTCCTCAACAGGTGGGTGGCCCCAGGAGCAGGGGGCCCGCGTGCCTCGCCCGGGCTCTCGGGGACTGCGGCACTCATGCTGGTGCCCAGTGGCAGGGCCCCTGCGGGCCATGTGCTGGGAGGCCTCTTCTGGAAATACCCCATCCTTAGTGAGGGCCGAGGCACCAGGCAGGTGACTCGAGTGGCACTGTTCCTGGTCCCTGCCGCCACTGACGTGGGCACCTTCAGGTCTTAGAAAGAGAGAGACCTCAGGGTGGGGCTTGGGGACACACGGCCCTGTTGCCGGCAGGTCAGTCGAGGGAGGGTGGGCCTGTATGTTCCCTCGCAGACCGGGCAGCTGACTGCACGGTGGACACCTGCTGGGTCTGAGCTGCTCTTGTCGTCGACCGTCAGCGCCGGACAGACCCCTGCGCTGCTCCTTGCTCCCGGGCGTGGTCGTCTCAGGAGCAGTCTTGTTCCTCTGCCTGCAGGAGGATCCTGCTCATCAGACCCAAGATGGCCTTGGCCAATGAAGGCAACTACCGAGAGCTGCGCTGGTTCACCCCGTGGTCCAGGAGTCGGTGAGTCCCGGTCGTGCTTTGTGACAGCTCCTTGGATGTTGATGAAGCATCTTTGCCGGGCGTCACCTCGGTGCAGATCGTGGGGGAGATACACGAGAATTCGGGGCAAAATCCCCGCCTCCTGGTACCTGTCATTTGGATATGGCTGTTTTGATGCTGCCAATTAAATGATAGCCAAGTGATCACAGATCACGTAAAACTGTCAATCATCCGTCACCCATCACCAGTCGTTTTAAGTGTAGTGTCACTTACGTCTTGGGTCACCCTGTGTGTCAGGGTTTCTCAGCTCCAGCCCTGCTGCTCTGGGGCTGGGTCATCCTTGTGGTGGGGGTCTGTCCTGTGCACAGAAGGGTGCAGAGCAGTGTCCTGGCCTCCACCCGTTACATCTGTGACGACCAAAACTGTCTCCAGATGTTGCCACATGTCCCTGGGCGGGGGGTGGGGGGGGAGACGACATCATCCCCAGGGCAGAAGCCCTGCCCTATCTTCTTATCACAGTTATTCTTATTTCCTTATTATCGTTACTGTTGTGAATGGAATCTTTCACATTACGTTTCTAAGTGGTTCATATTTTTATGTGGGAAAACTTTAGATTTTTGTCTTTTGCTTTTGAAATTGACCACCTTACTACGTTCTCTTGCTGTGTCTACTAGTTATTCTGTTGATTTTTCTTAGTTTTTTTTTCCAAGTAGAAATTATATGGTACAGCTAATTTGACTTCCCCTTTTTCGATAGTTACACCTGGCAGTTCATTTTCCTAAGAGCGTTTGTTGGCCAGCATTTCTAGAACACTGTTCTAGGTCATTTCTAGAACCAGTGTCTTTGATAACCGGCATTTTTGTCTTTTTCCCGACTTGACTTGGAAAGCTCGTCCTGTTTTTGCATTTGGTTTCGGATTTATGTCTGTCTCTAGGTATTTTTACTTTGGAGTTTTAAAATGAGTTGAGAATGGATGTTGAATGTATCGGATATCTTCTTAGCAACACTGAGATGAATGGAGAGTAAATCTCTGTGTCTAGAATAAACTCCAGATGAATGTGGGGCGTTAAACTTTGTTTCAATTTGCTACTGTCTATTCAGGATTTTTCTCTCTTTTCCAGATATAGGTGCCAGTATTATACTAGCGTTTTAAAAAAATATTAAGAAAATTTTTCTGTGCTCTGACACTTTAAATATTATAGGAAATGATGTATCAAAGAATAATATGGCTACAATTCTCTTTAAAACTTAGGAATGATGTATCGAATAATGTTTACTTTTAAATTTTTTGAGATAGAAATAGCATGCAATAAAATATGCAGATTTCGGGTGTTTTGCCTTTGACAAACATGTGCCTTTATGCACTCACTACCCTGAAGAGACATTTCCATCATCCTGAGCCCTCTCTGCCCCCTTCCCAGTGGATCCCGTCCCCCAAGCTTAGTTTTGTCTTTTCTTAGATTTCATACAAATGGAGTCATACGTGTACACGCTTTCATAACTGGTTTCTTTTGCTTAACATGAGCCTTTTGAGATTCATTCAGTGGTTTTTCCTTTATATATACAAGGAGTTTCCTCTTTTATATAATAATATGGTTTTAAAAGTCCTAAATAATTTCATAAGCTTGATAACAAAACAAACACCCCTCACTCTGCCCCCTCCCCGTCTCCGAGCCCTGCTTCCCAGTAGTGGCCCCTTTTCCATTTTTCTCCTTTCCCCCCCAGCCTCTGGGTTCTGCCTCCATATTTCTAAATCAAGTGCAGCTATTGCCGTATCACGACTTCCTGCTCTGGAAGAACAGGATTGAGCACGCACAGCCCCACCTTTCCTCTCTGTCTGCATCCTCTTCCTCATGCACGCGCCGAGTTTTCTGGTGACATCGCAGCTCACTGTTTGCGTGATTCGCCCCAGTGGAAGGTCACGGCCGAGCCGCCGTTCTGTTCTGAGCCTGTGATGTTGCCCTTCCTCCTGCCCGGAGTCAACCGTGCTCCGTGCTCTCCTTGCCCTCCGCCGCCTCACCTGACGCTTCTCCCATCCCGTTGGGCACGTGGTCGGTCCTGCGCTCCTGCCCCACGCTGTCTCCAGCCTGCTCCAGGGCTGTCACCCCTTCCAGTCCCAGTTCCCTGGATTTCTCTCCCTCTCCTGGATTGACTGTTTTTTTCTTGTCATTCATTTGCTGGAACACAGCTTCCAGTGGCTTTCTACCATTCGACCACCGCCAAGCAGTTAACTCAGTTCTGACGCTGTCTTCCTGGAGATAGCCTCGGGTCCCACAGGTGAAGGCTCAGTCCTCCAAGACAACCCCGACCCCCACCCCAGATGCCACTCGCAAGTCCAGGTTGTCACCTCTATTTCTGCCCGACCGGTTATAGATCAGGGGTTCCCATGACCGCCTCCTTGGGTTTGAGTAATTTACTGGAGTGGTTCACAGAACTCAGAGAAACATGTTACTAAGTAGATTACCAGTTTATTATAAGATCATGTAACAGGAACAGCCAGATGCGAGAGATGCACAGGGCGAGGGATGGGGAAAGGAAGGGGCTTCCGTGCTCTCTGAGCGCACTGTCCTCCCCGAGTCTCCATGAGTTCAACAGCCCGGAAGCTCTCTGAACCCTGTCCTTTTGGGCTTTTATGGAGGCTTCATCACATAGACCTGATTGATTAAATCATTGGCCGCTGGTGATTGATTCAACCTCCGGTCCCCTCTCCTCCCTGGCTCATCACTAGTTGGTTTCCCAGGCAACCAGCCCCATCCTTAGGTGACCTGGGGGTGCCTTTCCAAAGTCATCTTATTTCCAAAAGTCATCACAAAAGACACCTTGAACGCTCTCATCTTGGGTAGTTCCAAACATTTTCAGAGCTCAGTGCCAGGATTGGAAGGAAGACCAAATAGATATTTCTTATTATAAATCACAGTATCATGCTTTCTAAGCAACTGTTCCCGGCAGGTGAAGTCTTGAGACCTTGCCTGCCTGCAGGTATCTTTATTTGACTCTCCCAGGTGGTGAATACTTGTGCAGAGTTTTTTTGAAATTCTAGGTTAACGTAATTTTTCTTCATTGTTTCAAATGCAGTTTGAGGGGTCTCCTGTGGCTGTTGGTGAGATGCTGCCTCAGCGTGGCCTGATGAGCGGTGCCACGTCCGTGCCCAGGATCCAAACCAGTGAAACCCTGGGCCGCCGAAGCAGAGCACGCGAACTTAACCACTCGGCCATGGGGCCGGCCCTTAAACTTAGCCATCTTATTTTTAATTTCCGAGAGCGCTTTCTCCTTTTCTTTTATTTTCTTTCATAAAGCGTCTTTTTCAGTATCCTCTTTTACTTCTGAGTGTATTAACCAGTTTTTTGTTTTTTGGACTTTTTCCCTGCATTGGCTATGTTTTTTCTGAATGCCTTTGTTTTCTCTGTTCATCCGGGTCTCTGCCTTTGACCATGGGGCTTTCTTCAGGTCTCTGGAAGACTCTTGGCTCTTAGTGCACGTTCGGAAATAAAGCTGTGAAGGATCAGCTGGAAGTGTGTGCTTGCTTGAGAGCGTGGCCGCTCCTGACCTCTGTCCGTGGAGCAGCCACTGAGCTGAGCTTTCCACCAGCGCACCTTCAAAGCTTTCTTTTTGGATGTCTTTTCTCTGGGGCCTTTTAATTCATCCAGAAAAAAAGTCTATTGATCTTCTAGGCTGTGCGTCCCACGCTGACCTCAGTGGCCTTTCCTGTCCCACCTTTGGCCTCGAGCCCCACCCTGTCTCACGTCTCCGTGTGTGTCTTCTGTATCTTTCACCCTCTCTCTGACCACTGCTGTCTGTTCATCTGTTTGTCTCTTATTTGTGGGTTCATTCCCCACATTTGTCCTCTATGCAGAGTCTGCAGTCGGATCTGTTCTACTCTTTGATGCTTCTGATGTGCTTTTGGTATTTACAAATGTTTTGAATTTTTCAAATGCTTCTCATAGTTTGCAAGCTCACTTTTTTTTTTCTTTTGAGGAAGATTAGCCCTGAGCCAACATCTGCCACCAATCCTCCTCTTCTTGCTGAGGAAGACTGGCCCTGAGCTAATATCTGTGCCCATCTTCCTCTACTTTAGATGTGGGACGCCTGCTCCCGCATCGCTTGACAAGCGGTGTGTAGGTCCACGCCCAGGATCCAAATTGGGGAAGCCCGGGCTGCCAAAGGAGAGCATGCAAACTTAACCGCTGCACCACCAGACCGGCCCTGCCAGCTCACTTTTTATCTCCTATTGTTCAATCATCTTTACTTTGGGATCTTTTATGGGTTTATGTTGTCTCTAATGTCTTTGAGAGGATATGCATATATCTCTAGTTCACCTTTTCTTCCATTTGTAACGTGTGTGTAGGTCTCATGTTGAAGCCTGTTTAATTGTGCCTGCAGATGGGGTGGCATATTGAGCTGGAAGAACCAGATGCTTCCACTCTGATGTAGTTAAAAAGACGGAGACTTTTACCCTCTGAGAGCTGTGTGAAAGTGGGGACAGTGCGTGCACGGCATCTCCCCTTTAGTGAGGAGTACGTCACAGGTTCAGATCCTCCTCGGAAAATAGAAACAAGACCCAGTTCTTGACCGCAGAGAATTTAAGAACCTGCTCATTTTCCTCATGTTCTTAGGTGGACCCCCAAATCTAAGCGCAGCAAATGGGTCACAGGGGCCCTTGTAGCTCCCAGGGGGGCCAAAAAAGACTTGCCATTAGCATGACCCCAAATGGTTTCCTGGCAGGAATACACTGCTCGGTTTTGTCCAGAGGATGTTTCCTGCGGAGGAAGGGCACCCCATCAGAGAGCACTGCAAGCTGTGCGGAGCAGGAAAGGTACAGGTGTGGAGACAGCCAGGGAGATGGGTTGGGCCAGCCCGAGGCAGGCTTGAGTGACAAGCTTTAGAGCCATGACTTTTATTCATGATATCCTGGCTCTCCAATGACCTGTGATGAACCACACCGGCCACCCGCAAGGTGTCGGCTGGTTTTGGAGCAGAGAGTGAGAAAGAGTGAGGTCGAACATGCGCTGTTTCCTGGTGGTCTTGCTTTGGTCTGGTGCTGAGTGGGTCTTTGTGTGATTGAGGGGGACGGAGAGGATGAAGGGAGAAACCTTTGGACGACTGTTCCCTTTAAAATGAACTTGGGTGCAGCAACATGGCCATCAGCAAACCTACAGATGGTGGATTTGATGCTTAGTGTGGGATGGCCAGGCAGCTTGGAGGTCAGCGGGGTGCCTACGTGTCCCTGTCCCCTTCATTAGCGAGGAGAGAAGGCATCCTCTTAATATCTCAGCTTTTAAAATTGACTTAAGTAAAAGACCAACTGAAATCATCCCAGAAGGTTCTCGTGAATTCCAAGAAAGCAAAAAGAAATAAGTTCATGGAGTGTCTTAATCGTGCATCTTCTGACAGCCTATTTGAGGTCAACTTTGTAGACCGTCTTTTTTTAAAATTCTGCCTTTTTGTTTGGCAGCTCGGGATGCCTCGTACTGAAGTTGTGTGTTAAATTCTTCCATCGTCTTGTAAAACTTAGACCGTGATTTTGTTATGTCGGTGATGACATAGGTTTGCAGGTGTATGTTGAGTTCATGCGGGATGAGCTTTCTGATCCAGCAACTTTGGTCAGGAATTCCACCTGGATTTCTCCATGGGGAAACGGGACTCCTTTTTGGATGATCCCCGTGACTCATCTCTGGGAAACGCCGTATATCACGGATAGTGGAAGCCGACAGGTGACAGGAGAGCTCGGAGCGTGTTGGTGTCACCTGGTAGAGCACACAGGAGCTTTATCAGTTCACCTTATCCTTTTCTTTTTAGCTTAAATGGAGGGTTTAGAGCATATGTTAGTACTGGACAGTGGGATTTTTGTTTAAACTTGGATGCCTTTCTTTGTTTTTTTCTGAGGTGCTCTGTCTCAGATCCGTGGTGTTTTCCTTTCTAGGCAAACAGAGGAATATTTTCTTCCCCGGATGCTCCAGGACCTGACAAAGCAGGTGAGTCTCTGGGAATAAAACTCCTTTTTCGGCCAAATGTCACTATTCTAGGCCAATGGGTGGACCGTGTGGGGCCAGGCCCTTGGGATCAACATGACAGAAACCGCCTCAGCTGGTGTACGTGAGAAACGGGGTTTCTGTGACCAGCAGGGAAGGGTCTCAGGAGCACAGACCTCGGTGGGCGCCTCCTTCCTCGTGCGTCCCTCATGCTCTTCCTGTCCCTGCCCCCTTCTTCTCCTCCAGCTCCCGCTGGCGCGTGTGTGTGGGGAGCGTGCTGGGGGCCTCCTGCCCTGCTTAGTGGGCTGTTTCCTCTAGGGCTGGGACCTGGGGGCTGCCCGAGGGGCCGAGTTGGGGGTTTTCTACTTATAAAGCTCACGGAAGACTTCACGTGGCTGCCTGTTCGTTCTGTGCAAACCCTGCGTCAGAAATCCATCTTGTCTTCTGAACCGGGCTGGACAGGCCCATCGAGCCTGATCTTGCAGCCCTAACTCGGGGCCTCATCCATCCTCCTCCTACAGGGGACAGCTGGAACACTGCTCTGTCCCCTTCCCGTGGCTGGTTGGGAGCTGGGGCTGCAATGGGGGTCTTTGGGGGCCCTTCGAGTTCTCTGCCTCCGGCCTCATTTCTCATCTTGGTTGCCAAGTGTATGAATTTGCTTAGGCTGCTGTAACAAAGCCCCCCAGACTAGTTGGCTTAAACCGCGGGATTTATTCTCTCCTGGTCCTGGAGGCTGGACGGCTGAGGTCCAGGTGTGGGCGGGGCTGATTCCCCCTGAGGCCTCTCTCCTTGGCGTGTAGACGCCGTCTCCTCCCTGTGTCCTTACAGGGTCGTCCCTCTGTGTGCATCTGTGTCCTCATCTCCTTCTTATAAGGACCCCAGTCACACTGGATAAGGGCCCACCCTAGTGACCTCATTTCACCTTAATCACCTCTTTAAAGGCCTCATCTCCAGTAAGGTCACATTCTGAGGTGCTGGGGGTCATGTCCCTAACAAGAATTTGAATGGGACACAGCTCAGCCTGGAACACCAAATCCTCTGCACCCTGATTATTGCTCTCAGGGTAGCTCATAAGGATGTACTGAGCCTCCGACAGAGTGGGTCAGCGGGAACGCAACTGGACCTTGGCTCAACCTGAGCAGGCTCGAGGGGCAGGGGTCCACCACTCCCCTGACTCCCACCAGGCCCCAGCTCCATTTTCCTCTTTGCCATCGTGGGTCTCTCTCTGCCTCTTGCTTCCCAGGTGGACAGTGGCTGCCCTGAGCCCTTGGGCTGAGCTCGCCCTGTCCAGGAGCCAGACTGAGTCGCTGGTACCAGCTCTGGCTCCGAGAGGCGGGCTCGGGCTCAGTGCCCTCTGCACTGGCAGGGATGGACTGGCTGAGGTTTGGAAAGAGACCGTCAGCCTGGTCTGATCACCTCCCAAGTGACCTGGAGACCTTTCTGACCATGAACTGCAGGAATGAGCACACTTTAAAATCATCGTGACCTGGAACGCAGTGTGGGCGGGTGTGGAACAAACACATCAGCAGCAATCCTTCTACAGGGAGACGCACCCCACTTTCATTCTCCTTTCTCCTGTCTTACTGATCCTGTCATATCTTAAAAAACATACCACTGGTGACCCACTGACGCAACGTGGGGGTGTGGTCTGCAGCGTGAAGGATTCTGCTGGGTCTCATTGGTCACGGGGCACGTTGCACCGATTGGCCCCGAAATGAATGTGGATGACAGTTAGGGGCATTTTCAAGAAACGAGTGAAGACGGCCTGACACCACTACAACTGGACCATGTGTCCCGGGCTCAGTCCCAGAGCGCGTTCCAGACCTGTCTGTATCCCTCCCGTTGCTCTGAGTCCTGGGGTCCTCACAGCACGACGGGGTCAGGCTTCCCGGCCTGCCCTGGGGTCAGGTTTGCGAGGCGCCAGGGAGCAGGGGACACACAGGTCCCGCGACCACCAGCACAGGGTCCTCTGCTCAGGGCTCTCCGTGATGCCACAGGTGAACAGTGACTGTCCGCGGCAGGAGGCATCGGAGAAGAAAGTGCTGGGCGTGCGCCCCGGTCCTTGCCCTTGGCGATGAAGGGGTTAACACACAAAGGTCAGAGAACCCAAACGAGAGGCTCTGGGATGCATCCAGGCCTCCTGCGATGATTTCTCAAGCACAAGCACAGCAATACCGTGACGTAATTTTGGCGCAGAAAGACATGCCGAGGCTGGGCTCGAGCTAGCAGGTAGCAGAGGTGTCTGTGGACGTCAACCCGTCTGTGCCCACGTTACCCGGTCAGCGTACACTGATCTCAGTGCCGAGTGAGACCTGTCGGCAGCCTCCGGGGGTGCTCTCTCGCTCCCAGCACCTGGCGTTGACACATGTGGCTCTCGGAGGAGGACGTCCCTGCGTTCTGTTTCCGGCCCTGCTACTCGAGAACTACGTGGCTTTTGTCAGGTTTCTTGGACTTCGTCAGACTGAGTTAGGTCATTTCTGACGCAGGGCTGGGAACGCTCCCTGGTGAAACGGTCAGGAGCCTAGATGACGTAGACGTGCTCAGCACCGTGCCTGGCAGAGTAACCCTGTATTAAGGAGAGCTGTTATCATTAATCACAAGGATGACGATGGCAATTTGTGTCAGTGGAAACTCCAGGAGCTGAGTCATGGTTTGTGGCAGACACGGTCAGCTCCCCGGCAGCTCAGAGCGTGGCTTCTCGTTAATGAATGGCTGACCGGAGGCCCGTAAGGGTCGGCCGAGGAGATGCCAGCTAGCGCTGGGCCACCTGGGCTGCACATGCTCCACGCCGAGGAAGGACTCATTTGGGGCTTGAGACGAAACGGGCGTCTTTGTGAAAGTCTTCCTGGTGACGTGGGGGGTCCTGGGTCAGTAGGTAGCCCAGAAGGGCGATGGCCAAGGGGCCTCATGCACTCTTGTCCTCCAACTGCAGGAAACCGTGCCCTTTGGAGACGCGGTGCTGGCCACCCGGGACACCTGCATTGGGAGCGAGATCTGTGAGGAGCTCTGGACACCCCACAGGTGAGCCCCGCCCTCCATCCGGTGGACGCCTTCCCTGCACGACCAACTGGGAGGACTGGGGGTTTGCACACATCCTGGAGTCGTGGCCTTGCCCGACCCCCGGGGGCTTGCAGGGCCGGGAGGGCGGGTCAGGAGCATAGCCAGTCTCTTGTCTTCACCTGCCTCTGCCCGCAGCCCACATGTCGACATGGGCCTGGACGGCGTGGAGATCTTCACCAACGCCTCGGGCAGCCACCACGTGCTGCGCAAAGCCCACGCCAGGGTGGACCTGGTGACCATGGCCACCACCAAGGTAGGTGTCGGGCTGGCATGCTGGAGTGTGGGCGCCCCCAGCCGGGCACTGTGTCTGTCTCACACGCCTCCGAGTCCCCAGTGCCGAGCACAGGGCGTGGCCCAAGCACCATGGACATTCACGGCCAGTGCTCAACAAGCATACACGAGCTTCCGTTCTGGGGCTGCACTTGCCCGACCTCATTAACCCTTGCAGCCGCCCTGAGAGACAGATGCCACTGTCATGCCCGCCCTCCAGAGCTGGACGCCAGCACGTGGTGGTCAAGTGGCTGCTGGGCTCACACCCTAGCCGTCCGGCTCCCGGGCTTCCCACTGTGTTTCCAGACAAGTGACATGATGCCCGGGAACCAGGACATGCCCCTTGCCTGTTGGCATCGTGGCGGAAGCAGGGAATGCCATGAGTTTGTCACTCTCACTGGGTGGCGTGACGTGGCGAGGGCCGTGGTGCTTGGTCATTCCCAGGACAGGTGTGCATTCAGCCGAGCTGGGTGTGAATCCTGGCTTCGTGACGTGGGAGTTTGTTCTTTCTGAACCCCCGTCTCTCCTCCCCTCTGATGGAGATGACAGCGCCTGCCCCGTGGGGTTGTCGGGAGGCAGAAACACGTTTTGCATGATGCCTGGTGCTCGGAAGGCCAAGACAGTCCAGCTGCGTGGCAGTCCCGCACACCTGTGCCTTCCCTGCTGGGGGCGCTGACGGTGACCCAGTGGGCTGGGGGTGTCTGAAGCCTGCGTGAGCCGGCTCGGCAGAGCCTCCCGTGTTTGGGCGGGTGGGAGGCGGAGGGGACGGACCACAGCTGACACGCCCCCTGTTGGCTCTGCCTTTTCCAGAACGGCGGGATTTACTTGTTGGCCAATCAGAAGGGCTGTGACGGGGACCGTCTCTACTATGACGGCTGTGCCATGATCGCGATGAACGGCCACATTTTTGCTCAAGGATCCCAGTTCTCTCTGGACGACGTGGTAAGGAGCGGGCTCGCGTGCCACTGTGGGCACGCCCAGTCCAGTCGGTTCTGTTGTTCGGAGGCCGTTGTCTCTGCCCCCTCCGAACCAGGCTGTCTCGTGGGGGCCCCGTGGGGTGTCCCGCCTGCTTAGATCGCTTCGCCCTCGCCTTGTCGGTGAGGGAGGGGTCCCCGCCCCGCGTTTAAGGAGATGGTCCACACACAGCATGCGGCACTAGGCCCTGGACAGGTGAGACCCACAGCTGTTTCTCAGTCACACACGCACCGCCCGGGGGAGGAGGCCACCAGGCTGAGGGGGTCAGCCTGAGGCTGCACCTGGGAGCAGAGTGAGCAAGCAGGGGCCGTGGGGAGGGGGCTTTGCAGTAACCAGAGGGTGGGTGACCCCCGTGGAGGATGCGATTGGCTGGCGTGAATAGTTCCACGGCTAGCGGGACCTGAAGTCACCGTCTGGGAATAAGCAGGCACCGTGCCTGGTCCCCATGGTGAGGAGGGTTTCAGCCAGGGGACCTCACCCATGAGAGTAGGGTGGGGAGGGCCATGGCTGATGTCAAGGCAGCACATGTTCACTTGCAGGCCTTACGTGGCCCCGCCCACGAGTGCTGGGAGGCGGGATGGAGACCCCCATGCTGTTCTGGTGGGGACGGCCTCCTTCCGGGGGTCTCTGGTCTCACTGCACACGGTGATGGCCAGCCGCCTGGGGGCCGGGCCACGTGTGTCCAGGGGAGCTGGGCAGTGCATTTCAGAAAAAGCGTCAAGAAGTGCTGAGGGCTGGCAGGCATGTGGAGCGGGCAGAGGGCGAGGATGTCAAGGAGGGCAGGCTGGGAGTCAGACCTGCGCAGCCTCCCTGGTGGACTGAGTTCTCCCCGGAAGGGGTCGCACGGTCCGGGACCATGGAGCTCCCTCTCATGGCGTCGCCTGGCTCGTCTTTCATCCCGCTGTCTTCAGCTCTTGTCCTTGGGGGCACGAGTGCTGGAAATGCTGATGTACTGAGGCAGGCGGTGGCAGGAGAATGAGTCGCAGGCAGGGCTGGAGCGGGGCGCGCCCTCGTCATAGAGCAGTGAGTTCTCCCGGGCCCTCTGTCATCACGTCTGTTCCTTCATTGCCTTTCATCCGCCCCAGTGGGCTTTCGTGTGATGCCTCCCGCGGCCACCTTGGCGTTGCCGGCAGGGAAGCGGTTAAGAAATCAGACTTCGGGGGCTGGCCCAGTGGCCGAGTGGTTAAGTTCGTGCGCTCCGCAGCAGGCGGCCCAGTGTTTCGTTGGTTCGAATCCTGGGCGCGGACATGGCACTGCTCACCAAACCACGCTGAGGCAGCATCCCACATACCACAACTAGAAGGACCCACAACGAAGAATATACAACTATGTACCGGGGAGGGGGGGGTGCTTTGGGGAGAAAAAGGAAAAAATAAAATCTTTAAAAAAAAAGAAATCAGACTTCGCTTTCGAAGTGGCTGAGTGCAGGGAACCTCGCAAAGAATCCCATCGTGTTTTCTTGCCCCCCGGGGGGAGGCGAGGGTTTGGCAGACTCAGCTGCAGCAGGCGGAACACTGTCTGCGTGTGAAAGCGTCCTTGTTGCTGTCATCCGGGCTCTGCTTTCCAAGTGACAGTTCCCCAGAGGCCCCCTGTTGTCCAGTATTAACCATAATAAAGACGGAATGGGGTCAAAGAGAAAGAGCAGGTTCCTGCAGATGGCCTTGTGTGTCCCTCTGTCCCTGGAGACTGCTGAGTTGTTTTTCGGTCCAGGTTGGCTTGGCCAACACATTCGGCCGGACATCAGAGCTGCAGGCAGCTTGGTGGCAGCGTTGACTGGCGGGTGGGTCGGGGGTCTCCTGCACCAGGATAAGCAGGTGTACAGATCCCTGCAGGTGCCGGCCCCACCCAGGCCGCCCTGAAATGGACTCCCAGGGGTCCACTCTGGTGATCTCCAGTCACACTGAAATCTGAGGACCTCGCCTTCCCCTCCTGTGCACGCATCCTCTGTGATCTGCCCAAAACGGTCAGGAGAAATTTCATGGCACAGACTCGGTTCACAGAGTCACCCCTTCTGTCCCCTCCGCTCCGCGGAACAGATCGGCGACCCTCTTCTCTGGCACGTGCTGCTCCCGGGCTTCCTGGCCTCATGGGCTTTCTGGTGTGTGCGGCCTCAGTCGCCGTGGGTGTTGAGGCTCACCTAGTCCTGGAGAGGTGGGACGGGCCTTCTTCTCATGTCAAGACTCATGCCGTCCAGGGGCTTTTCATTTCTTGCGGCTTCTCGCTTCCCTTGGCTTTGTCATGCCAGAAGCATGGTGGCTTCGGTGGCTTGTCACTTTGGCAAATGACAGGAGAAGCAGACCTCATGGGAGCCGCCTGTTCCCATTCTCTTCACAGATGTTTCCAGCTTGCGTTAGGCCCGTGGTTGACAAAGGCAGCGTTGGGTCCACGGGCCCCAGCCGTCCTGTGTCACCCGTGGTATACAGAGCAGTTCCTGCTGTCCCACGCTTGTGTGTATGAGACCATATTCTAATAACATAGTTTGATTAGGAATGCTTTTTCATAAAGAAAGGAATGACATCTGGGAGTTTAGACCTTCTGTTTTGTGCTATGTGTTGCAAGTGGCAGAACCCCCCACCTCAGCTGGGGTCAAAGGCAGGGCAGTGTCACCTCCTATAGCACAGGCAGCACATCTAGGCCAGGACCCTGGGGTGGGTTGCCGGGGCTCTGGCTTCACCTCTCTGCCAGTTTCCAGCTCTGCCTTCCTCTGTGTTGGCTTCATTCTTGGGTTGTGTCTCCTCATGGTCGCAGAATGGCTGCAGCAGCTCCAGCCATCTCACCTCCACACAGCCACATTCAAAGGTAGAAAAGGGGCCCTTGATTCTCGGGTGTCTGAGAAGAGAGAGGCCTTCTCAGAAGCTCCCATCAGACATTTATTGACAAAATTGGGTCCTGTGCCATGATTAACAGATCACTGGCAAGGTTCTGAGTTCAACAGAGATTCTGGGGGCAACAGCAAGGGAGAAGGGTTATTGGTTGGCAAAACACTGGCCGCCCCTCTCCCTGAGCCCCTAGGAATCCACGGGTCCCCAGTCCCTGCCTTCCAAGGCGGGACGCATCTGGGTGTAATTTGGCACACCTATTAAAGTGCCCAGATTACAGGAGTGAGTGAAAAAAACCCCAGGAAGTCACCTTTTCTCCTTGAAACTCCTTCTCCAGGAGGTCCTCACTGCCACCTTGGACTTGGAGGATGTCAGAAGCTACCGGGCGGAGATTTCGTCTCGAAACCTGGCGGTAAGCGCTGTAGTAGACGCCACTGTAGGATGCTCATCAGAGACCTGGAAACTTGTTCTTTTTTAATAACGGCTTTATTGACTTATCGTCCGCCGACCACGCGATTCACTGATTTAAGCCCGTGAGTCAGTGGTGTTTAGCATCTTCACGGAGTTATGCAGCCGTCACCACCGTCTGCATTAGAACATTTTCATCACCCCAAAAGGAAACTTGTCCCCAGTAGCCGTCACTCCCCATTCCCCACCCCCAGCCCCTGGCAACCACGGGTCCGCTTTCTGTCCATGGATTTGCCTGTTCTGGGATATTTCCTGTAAATGGAGTCATACAATATGTGGTCTTTTGCGTCTGGCTTCTTTCACTGAGCATATTGTTCTCGGGGATCACTGATGTCATGGCGTGTCCGTGCTTCCTTCCTTTGTATTGTCAGATGATTTTCCCCCGAATGGATAGACCACCTTTTGTTTGTCCATTCGTCTGTCCACTCCTGGATATTTGGGTTGTTTCTGCTTTTTGTCAGTGACGAATACTGCTGCTAGGACCGTATGCACAGGTTTTCGTGGGGACATATAGACGTATATGTCCTCCATTTGTCTTGGGGACGTACCTGGGAGTGGAATTGCTGGGTCTTATTTTAATGCTGTGTTTTAATCTTTGGAGGTGCTGCCAGATTCTCCACGGCGGCTGCAGCATCTCACGTTCCCCCCTGGGACTCACGTCTTAGGTTCTGATTTCTCTACATCCCAGCAGCGCTTGTTACCAGCTGTCCCGATTCGAGCCGTCCTGGCGGGTGTGGGGGATCCCACCGTGGTTTCGATGGGTGTATCCCACTGCCTATGGGGTCCTGCTCCTCCCTGGGTCTCAGGAACCCGTGAGGGTTTCGGTACTGAGTGGGTGTCATGCTGTCCTGAATGTCCATCGCAGGCCAGCAGGGTGAGCCCCTACCCCCGAGTGAAGGTGGACTTCGCCCTCTCGTGCCACAAGGATCTGTTGGAGCCACTGTCCGAGCCCCTCGAGTGGAAGTACCACCGTCCTGCCGAGGAGATCAGGTGGGGGTCCTTCGAGTGCAAGAAGGGATGCTGTGGCTCCGGGAGCCACTCCCTTGTCCCCACTGCTGCCGAGTCAGCTTGCACTGATCGCGCTGGGTGGTGGCACGGAGCCAGTGGTGGTGGCCGGTCATCAGAACCTGCCTGCGCTGGCTGCTGGTCAGGAGGAGGCTGTAGCTCGTCAGGGTCGAGGGCGTGGACACCGTAGCCAGACCGCCTGGCTTCTGCTCCCAGCTGTGCCCTTCCTTGTGCGAGGACCTTGGGTACAAACGCGCCGTCCCCTCCTTCCTGTGTCTCAGTTCTCCCATTTCCTAAAGGGGCCGACAGCACCTACCTGCCAGGGCTGCTGTGAGGTGCTTAGAACAGAGACGGGTGTGTCGTGAGAGCCCAGCTGCTGGCGGTTCTCGCTGGCGCTGCTTCCCCCTTGGCACCTGCCCCTAGCAGAGCGGATCCCTAACCTCCTGCTTCCAATTTTCCCCAGCCTTGGACCTGCCTGCTGGCTCTGGGATTTTTTAAGGCGTAGCCAACAGGTAAGATCTCCCATGTTTCACCAGCTCCCTTTGCTCATACTGCCGGTTGGTTTGCGTTGGATTGTATGGCAGACGAGTGACTGGTTTTTTTCCTTTTTTTTTTGTATGTGGGTCACCTGCACAGCGTGGTTGGTGAGTGGAGTAGGTCCATGCCCGGGATCTGAACCCGCGAACCTAGGCTGCTGAAGCAGAGTGCGCGCATGAAACTTTAACCACTGTGCCATGGGGCTGGGCTCTGATTTTTTTTTTTTTTGAGGAAGATTAGCCTTGAGCTAACTACTGTTGATCCTCCTCTTTTTGCTGAGGAAGACTGGCCCTGAGCTAACATCCATGCCCATCTTCCTCTATTTTGTATGTGGAACGCCTACCACAGCATGGCTTTTGCCAAGTGGTGCTGTGTCCGCACCCGGGATCCGAACTGGCGAACCCCGGGCCGCCGAGAAGTGGAAAGTGTGAACTTAGCTGCTGCGCCACCAGGCCGGCCCTGATTGTTTTTTTTTTTTTTAATGCAAACAACAAAAAAACATGTCTTCGCTCTGCCTCAGTTGGGAGCTTAGTCTATGCTAGCCAGAGGCTGAAGGGCACGCTGAGGCTGGCTCCACCTTTGGAGTCCTAGTGGGACCCATGTCCCGTGACCTTCGCAGTTCCGAGACTCGCCCTCTGCTGCTAGTCTCGTGGCCCCGCACGTCTGTAATTCACATGGAGAATCAGCCTTAGACACTCTCTGCAGGGGAAGGTCGTCCTTCCCTCCGGAAAATCCATTCTGGAACGTGCAGGCCGTCTTTTTTCCTCCCCCGGCGAGAGCTCAGACGCCCACGAGCCTGGTTGTGGAGCATCAGTCGGATTTGCGGGTGGAGCTGGGTTCCTGTTGGGCACGTGGCGTCTCTGAGGCTCGGCTCACACCCGCCTTTGTCTGGCCCCTTCCAGGCGGGCTTCTTCCTGCCCCTGAGTGGCGGGGTGGACAGCGCAGCCACCGCCTGTCTCGTCTACTCCCTGTGCCGCCAGGTCTGCGAGGCCGTGAAGAACGGAAGTAGGTGACGTCCGTCGGCTGGAGGGAGACGTGGGGGTCTGCCATGGGGCTGCCTGCGGGAGGAGCAGAGGAAAAACCCAGGTCCTGGGCAGCAGGGATCGTGGAGGCTTTGTGGACCTGCTCACCTGTCATAACATCATGCTCAAGTCCCGGGGCCTAGGGACAGCAGGGCCATTGAAGTCCCTCCCCAGGGCTTTGGACCAACATGGCTGTGTCCCTCAGGCACAGGTGCCTGCTGCTGCCTCTTGGCAGTGTGGCCCAGTGGAAAGAACACAGGCTTTGGGGTCAGGCAACCCAGGTTCAGATGCTCCCACCACGTGCTCCGATGGTGACCATTCCCTCTGTGCGTACAACCCAAACTGAGGACAATGACCCTTCTCTGACGAAAGAGCCGGGCCGAGGGAGAGGGATTAAGCCCCTCGGGCACCTCTCGCACAGCAAGCGGCTGATGCCCTGTGTCCCGGTGGTTTTCAGATCAGGAAGTGCTGGCCGACGTCCGGACCATCGTGAACCAGATCAGCTACACCCCCCAGGACCCCCGGGAGCTGTGTGGACGCATCCTGACGACCTGCTACATGGCCAGCGAGAACTCCTCCCGGGAGACGTGCAACAGGGCCACAGAGCTGGCCCAGCAGATTGGAAGGTAGAGGTGGGCACTCATGTTGGGCATGAGCGGATGGCGCTGACGAGGATTAGAGCCCCCAGAAACTCCTCCTGTGTAGGCATTTGCGGTTAAATGTAGGTCCAGGAATTGAGGTTTCTTCCCTCTCTTGATTTGAGCCAGATTTTAGGGAAACTGTGTATCAGTTTTATCCCAAAACCCAGCTGTGTCTAAGGTTTCCCCCCTCCTTCCGCTCCTTTCTTGCGTCACAGGCACAGGCTGCCAGGGTCAACGTGCTGCCCCGTGGGATCACATGGTGCCCGCTCAGCCGGTCTTGGGAGGGGCTGGTGGTGCGACCCGCCTCTCTGCCCTCTTCCACCCTAGTCAGTTCTCTGTCCCTGAGGAAGATGGAGAGAGCTAGAGAAGGGAGACAGTTCCATTTGGAGTGTTCCGTTTATTCCGCCTCTCAGGAAAGCACAAGGAGCTGCCCCTCCTGCGTGCTGAGCTCACCTGCCCACCCCAGCAATTCTGCTCCTGGGTCTAGACTCAAAGGAAGTGAGGGCAGGACTCAAACGGATGTCTGTGCCGCCGTGTTCACAGCACTATTCACAATAGCCAGAAGGTGAAGACAACCCCCGCGTCCGTCAGCAGGTGAATGGACACACAGATGGTGGTCCAGGCATAGAATAACCGTAAAGAGAGGAAGCGCGGACACAGGCTACCACCTGGATGAACCTCAAGGACATGATGCTCAGTGAAAGGAGCCAGGCACGGAAGGACCACATATTGTGTGATTCTGTTTCTCTAAAATGTCCAGAATAGGCAAATCCAAAGAGAAAGTGGACTAGTGGTTGTCAGAGGCTGGGGGAGGAGAGAACAAGGAGTGAGTGCTAATGGGTATGGGGTTTCCTTTATGGGGGATGAAAGCGTTCTGGAACTAGATAGAGGTGGTGGTTGCACCACATTGTGAATGCACTAAATGCCACTGAATTGTGCACTTTGGTTAAAATGGTAAACCGTGTGTTACGTGTGTTTTATGTAATGCACACGCGTGCGTGCTGCCCCTCCACGCTCACCGTTTCTCCCTCCAGTCACCACATCGGCCTCAACATTGATCCCGCCGTGAAGGCTGTTGTGGGCATCTTCAGCCTGGTGACGGGGACAAGCCCCCTGTTTGCGGTCCAGGGAGGAAGCAGCAGGGAAAACCTCGCACTGCAGAATGTACAGGTGGGCCTCCCAGCCTGGCTGCTGCCACCCCACGGCCAGGGCACCCTGGGGACAGCCAGTGTGGGGTCAGCAGCTGTGTCCTCAATAGAGACACTGACCATGCAGCCTCGGGGACAAGGCCAGGGGTCTGCGTGTGTGTGTGAGAGAGCATACAAGTGTTTGAGTGTGTAAGAGGGTGTGATTGTGCATGTGAATGTGTAAGTGCAAGAGTAAGAGGGTGTGAGGGTGTCTGAGAGTGCGTGAGTGTGTGTGGGTGAACGTATGTGTGAGCATGACTGTGTGAGTGAAAGTATGAGAGTGAGACAGAAGTGTGAATGAGTGTGTACGCAAGTGTGTGCATGTGTGTGATCAGTGTGTGTATGCATGGTGTGAGTGTGTGCATTAGTGTGAGAGTTTGTGAGAGTGAGGTGTGAGTGTGCACAAGTGTGTGCGTGTGAGTGTCGGTTTTCTGCATCTTCGGGTGGGGACTGCCCTAGCTCCCACACTGCAGCAGGAGAGCTGGACACCGGTCAGCTGGTGGAGGGACAGAGGGGCCCTAGGCGCCAGCTGCTCAGCTCTGTGCCTCCTTCTGACCCCTTTCTGTGGGCATGGGTGGCCTTCTCTCCTCCAGAAACACCTGTGGTGTGGGGAGTGGTGCGCGATGGCCGAGATCCCACCCCGCTGACTTTGCAGTCCAGGCCAGGCTCTCGGCTTCCTGGCTCTGGTCCTTCCATCTCGGACACCACTGCTGCAGGGCGCACACGAGCACCGCGGAGACGGGGCCACCCCGGGAGGAACACAGGCCTCCTGGACCCTCTCTGGATGCTAGAAAGCCCCTAGATTACCATGATCTTCCTCTTCTCCAGAGCTGGCTGGGGAGAACCCTTTCTCCAGCTGTGATGGGAACACTGTGTTGATATGTGGGCCCCGCATGCTCCGGCCCTGCACAGGGTAACATGTCCCCTCCTGTCGTCCAGGCTCGGATAAGGATGGTCGTTGCCTATCTCTTCGCTCAGCTGAGCCTCTGGTCCCGGGGTGCTCGAGGTGGGCTGCTGGTGCTCGGATCCGCCAACGTGGATGAGAGGTGAGTGTGGCCCGGTGGGTGTGGCAGGGGCTCCCTAGCACCTGAGTCCCTGCAGGCGAGCACTCCGGAGGCGATGAGACCATGATGTCTCACTGGTTCTTGCAGCGTCTGTGTGTGTGGTGGGGGTCACATCATCCTACATCTCAGGGCACATTTGGCTCCAGGGGCAACGTCGTTTCTCCAGTTTCCCCGTGACCGAGTGTGAAGACGGTCAGCGCTGTGTCCCTCCGGCTCCCTCGCCCCCAGCCCTGCCCGGCTTCACCTCGCTCCTGGGTCTTCCTTCATCCTGTGTCTCAACCATCTTCCACCCCCGCCGCACGCGTTCAGGCTGGTCTCTCTCTCCTGGGCGATTCCTCTGCCTCTTAGGTCGTCCGTCTGTAGCCAGTTTTCATTTCCAAGCCACAGAGTTCATTTTTCATGTGACCGCTTTCTTGTATTGTTCTCTTGTTAAAAAAAATTGTTCCTTATTAGCTGGCGAATTTCAAAAACGTTAACTGTCCACCCCGGGCCCCACCTCCTGTGCATCCTGCTCATGCAGCCAAGAGAGGGTGGCCTGGCAGGGGGGGGATGTGGAGTGGCGAGCTGTGGTTGGCTTCTGGCATCCTTCGGTGTCGGAGGGAGAATCGTCAGTTTCTGCTGATGGACCAGATGAGGGGTAAGGATGCCCAGGCCGACCCTGAGTTTTGGGGCCTGAGCAACCTACAGGATGGACTTGCCCGTGACCAGATGTGGGAGACGGCGGGAAGAGGGTGGGGAGATCAGGGGCTCGGTTTGGGGAATGCTGAGTTGGAGGCACTTTCTAGACACCCAAGTGGAGATGTGAGGCGGGCAGCTGCTCAGGGATTCTGGAGTTCAGGGGTGAAACACACATCAGGGAGTCCTCAGCGCGGTGAGGTGCCATTGAAGCCACAAGACCGGGTGGGGTCACCATGAGACTGTCCACACAGCAGGGAGGGGCTCCAAGGACTGTGCCCTGAGACACCCCTGTACTGGGAAGCTGGGGGGTAAAGAGGTCCTAGAGAAAAGGAGAAGCAGGCGCCAGTTGGGAGTCAACCAAGAGAAAGTGGTACCCAGAGCCAAGCAGAGGCTCCTCCCGGGAGGAGGAGGGGGCTGACGGTGCTTATTGATCAGGGATGGGGAGCACTGGGGTTAGCCACAGGGTTTTCCAGACTGAAGACTCGGGGGGCGGAGCTTGACAAGGACGGTTTTGCTGGAGGGGCCACGGCAGGAACCTGGCAGGAGAAGGCTCTCGAGAGAACAGGATGGGGAGTGGAGACACCCCCGAGGGATTCAGTCACAGGAAGGTGGGGCTGAGAGAGGATTTGAAGGTGGGAGGCCTTAGAGCATTCCTTGTGCTCACGGAAGTGGAAGGGGAGGAGAGCTTCGATGATGCGCGTGCACGAGGGGAGCCTGGTCCACTTGCTGAAACTGGTGAAAATGCCTGTTACGTGACGGTCTCAGTCAGCTCGGGTGTCCACACGAAACAACACGCACTGGGTGGCTGCAACCACAGACGTTTGTAGCTCGCGGTCCTGGATGCTGGGAGCCCGCGATCCGGGTGCCGGCTGATTGGTTCCTGGTGAGGACTCTTCCTGATTTGCAGATGGCCACCTCTTGCCATGTCCTCACAGGGCAGGGAGACAGAAAGCTCTCCCTCCTCTTATAGGGACATCAGTCCTGTTGGATTAGGACCCACTCTTTTTTTTTTTTTTTTTAAAGATTTTATTTTTTCCTTTTTCTCCCCAAAGCCCCCCGGTACATAGTTGTGTATTCTTCGTTGTGGGTTCTTCTAGTTGTGGCATGTGGGACGCTGCCTCAGCGTGGTCTGATAAGCAGTGCCATGTCCGCGCCCAGGATTCGAACCAACGAAACACTGGGCCGCCTGCAGCGGAGCACGCGAACTTAACCACTCGGCCACGGGGCCAGCCCGAGGACCCACTCTTATCGCCTCATTTAACCTTGATGGACTCCTAGAGACCCATCTCCAAATACGGTCGCGCTGGGGGTTGGGTAATCAGCATGTGAATTTTGGGGGGGCACCAGACGTTCAGTCTGTAACAGTGACTTCTTCAGCCAAGTTGTCCTTCGAGTCCAACCGAGCCACCGAATCCGTCTCAATTTCAGGCAGGAAAAGTCTGTCTTAATTTTCAACATATAAACATACCAACCCCCTTCCCCACGGTAACCGCCTCCCTTCTAGATTTTCATTCTCAGACAGAGACACGGCAGGAGCCTTGCCCTGAGTGGGTCTCCTGGTTGGCCCGGGGCCCCACACCTGCAGGCGCTGTCCCCACACTGTCTGCGTTACTCCTGGTGCATCTTTGGGAGTAGGCAGGGGATGGCAGAGGTGCGGTGAAAGATGAAAACAGGCATCTCTTCCGGCCAGTAAGTCCCACACGATGACCTGTTTTGCTGTCAGCTGTCCCTCCACAGGACGGGGGGCGGTGGGATGCCCAGCGGGGCTTGGTTGGAGGAGGCCCCGCCAGGCACCAGGTTGTGATCGTCCCTCTGTTTGGCACCCTGGGGGTCTCCCACCCGGGCATCGCACCCTAGTAGGAGTCAGGAGGGGTGCGAGGTTGTTGTCTCTCTGGGAGAGTGGGGAGAGGTCCGTGGTGTGAGTGGAGGTGGGCAGGGGCCACGTGGCGGTGGCACAGGTGCGTTTCCAGGTGTGTGTGGAGGTGTAGGGGAGACGGGCGGAGAGCAGCAGCTGTTTTTGAGGAACTGTATGTTCAGCAAGGCTGGTGTTGCGGGGTGAGCTTGGGGAGCGTGGAGAAATGCATGTGGCCAGACAGGCAGCGGCCGGACCCTGGAAGGCCTGATGGAGCAAAGACACCGACGCCGGGGAGACTCACAGCCCAGGGGGCGTGGTCAGGCATCGCCGTGGAGGCGGGCGGGCGGGCTCGGGGCGGGGGTGGAGACCTGCGGTCATCCAGTGGTCCAGCGAGAGAACATGGTGGCCTGCATGGTGGTGGGTGGGGTGGAGAGGGACAGAGCGGTTGAAGAGGTGGACGAGTGTCCTGTGGCTGCTGTGACAAATGACCGCAGGGTCAGTGGCTTCAACGACACGAAGGATCCTCTTGCAGTTCTGTAGGGTGGAAGTTCAGCGTGGGTCTCGCTGGGCTGAGGTCAAGGTGTCACAGGGCTGCTTCCTTCTGGACGCTCCAGGGACACGCCCTTCCTGGCTTTTCACAGCCTCCGGAGTCGTCCACGTCTCTTGGCTCGTGGCCCCTTCCTCTGTCTGCAAACCCAGCAGTGTCGCGTATCTGTGTCTTTCCTCTGTCGTCACAGCTCCCTCTGAGTCTGACCCCCTGCCTCCCTTGTCCACTTTTAAAGACTCTTGTGCATTTAGGACCCACCTATAATCTTCACATCTCAAGGTCCTCAATTTAGTGACATCTGGAAAGTCCCTTTTGTCCTGTAAGGTCACGTATTTCACAGGTTCTGGGCGTAGACGTGGCATAGGTGTGGACATCGTTGGGGGCCACTCTTCTGCCCACCCAGGAGGCCTCCTAGAGGAGTTGCCAGGTGTGGAGAGATGACCTCGCTGCTCTTGCCTGAGCAACCACATGCGCTGAGGTCCCGCCCGGCCCTCCTGGGACAGGCTGCTCCCAGCTGATCATGCCCAGCTGTGTTTCTCAGCCCCGATTTCCTCTCTGGGGTGCCAAATACCTCTCCTTGGTCACCTGCAGCCTTTGCCCCTTTCCTAATCTGCCCTAGTCATACCAGACTTCCCCGCCACCCTCCGATTTGCCAAGCTTCTGGTTCCTGGGCCCCCCTGGGCTGCCGCACAGAAACTGTGTGCTCTCTCTCGTGCTCAGTCTCCTCGGCTACCTGACCAAGTACGACTGCTCCAGCGCAGACATCAACCCCATAGGCGGGATCAGCAAGTCGGACCTGAGAGCCTTCGTCCAGTTCTGCATCGAGCGCTTCCAGCTTCCCGCCCTGCAGAGGTGAATGTGTGCCCGCAAGACCGTGGCTGTGGCCCCTGGGCCACCCTCACCCCACGCAGCCACCTTCTGAGCTCCCTGTTGCCTGATGAAAATAGTCCTGCCCTTTGGCGGGCTCTTGGGGGTCTCGTGACCAGGCCGCCCCATTCCTTCTTGTCACTGCTCCGTCGTTTCCCCAGGGGGACATTGGGCAACGTCTGGAGACTTTTTTGGGTTCACGATGGGGTGTGCTCCTGGCGTCAAGTGCGTAGAGGCTTCTAAATGCCCTACAGTGCCCAAGACGGCCCCACAGTGGAGCACGCCTGGCCCGAATGTCAGTGGCGCCACAGTGGAGCAGCCACGTGTAGTTCCCCACCGTCAGCCTCCTGCCCTCCAGGTGATGAAGCCATGCTGGCATCCGTGCTCTCTATCCGGGGACCCTCCCTCTGGGAAGCCCGGCACCGCCAACCCCGGCTCTCGCCGACACCGATGGGTTGACAGTGCGCAACTGGAGACTGGCTCGCGTGCTGGGGACAGTTGGTTTGGGAATTTTGTCCCAAAGCTCACGAGCACTTTGGCAGCCGTTGTGACTGCCCTCTGTGTGTCTTGGCTGCAGCATCCTGGCAGCGCCGGCCACCGCAGAGCTGGAGCCCTTGACCAACGGACAGGTGTCGCAGACTGACGAGGTAACGGTGGGGGCCTTGTCACTGTGTTTCTTCCCGTCTCCCTGCTCCTGGCTTGTCTGTGGGGGATTCCTTCAGTCGCACTCCCGGCCTTTGACATTTCGGTTCAGGCTTCTTGAGGTCGGGTCCCGAAATGAGGGGGACGAGGTGAGTGGGGAGGGAGAGCATGGACGAGGGGAGTGTCTCCATGTGCCATAGGGCGACCTCAGAGAAGAGTCGCTCTTGACTTCTCCATGTTGTCCTGACCTTTTAACGCTTGGGGCTGGTTGGGGTCATAGGCTGTGGTTTGCAGCTTTTGTGGACACTGTGGAAGTGGCCATAGACTGTCGTAAGATCCAAGACAACTCACCTTCCTGCTGCCAGCTCCTTCGGTCACAAAGATTTACCTCTGTATTTTCTTCGGAGAATTTTATAGTCTCAGCCCTTATGTTGGGGGTCTGTGATCTCGTCGAGTTAATGTTTGGGAATGGTGAGGGGAGGGGGGCCACCCTCACCCCTTTGCATGTGGACATCCGAGTGTCCCGGCGCGAGTTGTTGAAAAGACTCTTCTTTCTCCCATTGAACTGTCCTGGCTCCCTTGTTGAAAACCAGTTGACTGTAAATGTGTGGGTTTATTTCTGGATTCTATTCCGTTGGTCTGTGTGTCTGTTCTCGTGCCGGTACCACACTATCTTGATTACTGTTGCTTGTAGTGAGTTTTGAAATTGGTAAGTGTGAGTCTCCCTGCTTTGTTCTTCTTTTTTCAAGGTCATTTTGGCTCTTCTGGGTCCCTTGAATTTTTGTGTGAATTTTGAGACCAGTTATTTTCTGCCGAAAAAAGAAAAAAGCCCGCTTGGATTTTCATAGCGATCGCATTGAATCTGTAGACCAATTTGACGGGTAACACCATCTTGATAGTATTAATCTTCTCATCATGAACATGGGATGTGCTCCCATTTATTTAGGTTGTCGGTAGTGCCTTTCGACAATGTTTTGTAGAGTATAAGCGTGCACTTGTTTTGTTAAATTCCCTTCTGAGTAGTTTACTCTTCTTGCTACTATTGTCAGCAGAACTGTTTTCTTCATTCCGTTTTTGGATGCTTCGTTGCCAACGTACAGAAACACAGTTGATATTCTCTTCTGTTTTTTGTTCTCTATTTCGTTCGTTTCCCCTCCAGTCTTTACTCCATCCTTCTACGGGCATGAGGGTTAGTGTGCTTTTTCCTCATTGTCGTAGGGCAGAAGGTTGGGTTGTCGATTTGAGATCTTCTTTCTTCATATGGGCGTTTACAGCTATGAATTTCTGTCCTCGCCCGGCTGTCGCCACAGCCCGTGTCTCGATAGGCTGCGTCTTCATTTTCCTTCATCTCCAAGTGTTTTCCGATTTTCTTGTGATTTCTTCTTTGAGCCTTTGGTTGTTCAGCTGTGTGCTGTTTCATTGCCACATGTGCGTGAGCTTCTGAAATTTCTTTCTGCTGCTGAATTTGTAATTCTGTTCCAGTATGGTCGGACAGCACACTTTGTGTGATTTCAGCGTTTACAATTTATGGAGGCTGTTACAGCCTCGCGTGCGTCTGTCATGGAGACTGCTCCGCGTGCGCTGGGGAAGCGCCTGTATTCCTCAGGTGCTGGCTGGAGGTTCTGAGGGTGTTTGCGGGGCTGGTTGGTTGACGGTGTTCCAGTCTTCCAGCTTCCCCTCGATTGTTTTCTCTAGTTCTGCCTGTTGTCGAAAGTGGGCAATCGAAGTCTCTATTAGTGTTGAATTTAGGGCATTAAAGCGTCACACGAGAAAATGTGCACTTTGTGTGAAAGAAGGAAGTAGAGGAGGTCACATGCCAGCACCCGTCAGGTGCTGGGGGCTCGGTGGTGAGCAGGGTGGACACGGTCACTTTCCCTAAAATGCTCATAGTCCCCTGGAGGGGACAGACAAGCAGGCAGGAACCGTGGTGGCCCCAGGTGGCTATGACTGCTGCCCGCAAAATCAACCCGGGTGACCCGGTGGTGGCAGTGTCCCTTAGATAGAGGTCAGCACAGGCCTCCCCAAGGAGGAGATGGTGGAGCTGAGGCCGGAGGGAAGGCCAGGGTGGGCAATGGGAGCAGGAGGCGGGGCTCCTCCAGACCCTGCTCGGAGGAGAGGGCTGTGCTGCGTCACCGTCCGTCTCTCTGACGGGGCTCTGGCTGTCTATTCTGGGCTGCGCGAGAGTCGAGAGGGAACTGGAGCAGATGCTGAGGAGTGGAGAAGGCGTCCAGCTCGGGTGAGCCTCGGTGTGAGGCTGACCCTTTGGAGCCGGGCCTGGGGCATGCTGCAGCCTCTGACAGGGCCCTGATTTCTGCAAACGTATTCTCTCTCCTCTGAGTCCTCCGCTCTTGAGGAAAGCGGGCTCCCGGGGCCAGGGCCTGGGGCCTGTCTGCTCGGCCGCTGTGCCTGACGTGGAATGGTGCCTGTATGGGTTTCCTGGGGTGGCTGTAACAGTGGCCGCAGACCAGGCAGCTTGAACAACAGAACTCATTCTCTGCTGGTTCTGGAGGCCAGAGTCTGGACTCCAGGTGCTGGCAGGGCTGCGCTCCCTCCGAAAATTCTAGGGGAGGGTCCTTCCTGCCTCTTCCAGCTTCTAGGGGCCCCAGGAGTTCCTGGCTTCCGTCCGCATCACTGCAGCCTCTGCCTCCATCTTCATCTGGCCTTCTCTGTGTCTTCTCTTCTGTCTCCTCTAAGGGCGCCCGTCACTGGGTTTAGGGCCTGCCCCAAGTCCAGGGTCATCGCCCCTTGAGATCCTTAACCCGATCATATCTGCAAAGATCCTTTTTCCAAGTAAAGTCACAATTTCTAGGTTCTGGGGCTTAGGACATGTACACATCTTTTGTGAGGCCGCAGTTCAGTGACCTGCAGTTCTCAAAATCAGGTGTCTGTTCTTCGTCATGTTTTCCGAATGCCGCCGTCATATCCACCAGTCAGTGTTGGGGACAGGACCCTCAGCTCTGCTCCTGGCCCTCTGAGAACGTCTCCCCTCCCCTGCGTCTCCGATCCCCGTCCCCGAGAGAAGTTTTAAGCGCTCTTCCGGCGCCGACGTGCTGTCCCTCCGGGAAACGCCTGTCGTTCCTCCGCAGGAAGACATGGGGATGACGTACGCAGAGCTCTCCGTCTACGGGAGACTCCGGAAGGTGGCCAAGACCGGGCCCTATAGCATGTTCTGCAGACTCCTCACCATGTGGGGCCACATCTGTACCCCGCGGCAGGTAAGACCGTGCGTGACACCGCAGAGGGAAGCCGGCAGGAAACGCCACCTCACAGTGGTGGGTCTGACACCAGAGCCAGGACACATGGTGAACCCTTAAAGCAGTGATACTCTAGCTCATGGTCCTCCTGCCCAGGTCTGAGCTGTCGCCAGCTCGGGCCCTGCCTAAGTGCATCTGACTGGGGCTCCACCACACCATATCGAGCAAGCAAGCTGCTCCCCCTCTGCTTTTTTCTTTGGTGAGGAAGATTGGTCCTGAGCTAACACCTGTTGCCAGTCTTCCTCTTTTTACTTCAGGAAGATTGGCCATGAGCTAACATCTGTGCCAGTCTTCCTGTTCTTTGTATGTGGGACGCCGCCATAGCAGAGCTTGATGAGTGGTGTGTCGGCCCCTGCCCGGGATCCGAACCCGCGAAACCTGGGCCACCAGAGCAGAGTATGTGAACCCAAATGTTATGCCACTGGGCTGACCCCTAGCTGCTCCCCTTTTCAGGGGGGTAGAGGGCAAATTTTGAGGTCTGAATATCACTGCTCTTCTGCTAGAAGCCCGTAAACATGGTGGTCCCCACAGAACCGCCTGCAAGCCTCATGGAATACGTCTTGCTGGGACCCCCGCTCAGCTCTCCTGATGCAGTATCCTGGGGCGTCAGAGTGGGGAACCCGCATTTTTATAGCTCAGCTGGCCGCCCCAACCTGAGCGCTGGCATTCGTCCCCTCCTGCCCTCGGGGACGTCCAGATGCAGCGGGAGAACCCATTCGCTTGCGCGGCCCAAGGTGACCCGGGTCAGAACTCTGGCCTCGGATCATCCAACTTGACCAACTTGAAGTCGTGTGTGTGGCTCACCTCCCAGGTGGCTGAGAAGGTGAAGCGGTTTTTCTCAAAGTACTCCGCGAACAGACACAAGATGACCACGCTCACGCCCGCCTACCACGCAGAGAGCTACAGCCCCGACGACAACAGGTTCGATCTGCGGCCGTTTCTCTACCACACCGGCTGGCCGTGGCAGTTCCGGTGCATAGAAAACCAGGTACGTCAGGCACAAGTGCACGAGTGATTTTTTTCTCTGTGTTAAATGTCTGTCGTGGAAACGTCAACTCATTTCTGTCCAAGACCGAAAAGCGGTTTTATATACACGGCGTCATCTTTTCCGGTGTCCTCATTTCCACAAAGGGACCAGTGTGTCTAAGGCCGTCAGAGCTTGGCGTGTGCTGCTTAGGCCGCGCTGTGTTTACTGGCGCTGCACATAGAAAAGCAGTCGCCGTCACGGCTTTACGAACGTGTGCCTGTCACTGTCGTTTCTAGACAACCCGAGCGTCCAGATGGCTTCAGATCTTGTAAACCGCCCTGTTTTTCCTTTCTTTTTGTAATTAATTGATAGAATAAAGGAGGGATTAATAACGTCAATTTAGAAAGCAAGTCGAGGTCCTGCCCGCCTTCCCTCGTCCAAGGTGAAGCGTTGGCACCGTGACGGAGGGCACGTCAGACGGGGCCCTCCCTGGAGCGGGCAGAAGCTGACGGGAGGAGGACGGCCCCTTGGTATGCGCACAGGGCAACACTGAAAAGAAGACATCGTGAGAAGTGGGACGCCGAGCTCGAGAGTCCTGGGGGCCAGCAGGAGCCCACTTTACACCTGGTGGTTGCGGGAGGCGTCTGAGCTCGGGATGCTGCACACATCCTGCCGTGCGTGGGACAGCCCACCTCCCACAGAGAATTAGTGCAAGGCAGGGCTTGGCCGCCACCAAGAGGCACTCAGCGAGGGATTCCCCCACATCAGGTGCAGGGTTCACAGGTTGTGCAGCCAAAAGATGGACAAGTGTCAGGACCTTTGTAAGACACATAGGTAGAGACCACCAGGAAGGTGTGGAGCCCGTCCTTCCAGCCTGTGCCGTGCACGTGCTCTGCCTTCTGCCCACATCTCAGCAATTGTAGATACTGTCTGAGAACCTGCTGTTTCAGGTCCCCGACTGCCACCCTCTTTGGGTGTGAATTGGTGTATTTCGGCAGTGTGATTGTTGAAGTCGGCACGTGGACGCCGTGTGTCCATGAGACTTCTCTTTCCAGGTTCTCCAGCTCGAGCGGAGAGAGGCGCAGGACCTGGATGGCGTGGACTGACGTCGGGCCCTGCGTGGAGTGCTCCCCTTCCCCCGAGGATCCCACGTCACGTGGCCTCGCTAGTGACCACCGGCGTGAGCCACTCCCTGCCCAGACGGCGTGGTCAGCAAGTCTTGTTTTCCATTTTAAGGGAGAGGGGATCTCCTCAGTCTTCAGTCTCGTTCCTTTAACAAATGGCGGAAATAAAGAGGGCGTGATGTTTAACTCTCCTCTTGAAGCCAGCTCTCTCTCTGGCCTCCCTGGCCCTCGTGCAGCTGCTCCAGAATCTCCCCAGAGCCCGGGGCGACACCAAAGCCGAGGGAGAGTTCTTCAGGAAGGGATGGAGGAGGACCTGGGGGCAGGAGGATTCTGGAATGACTCCCGCTCACCCGTGCACCCACCCTTGCAATCTTCCTCTGTCCTTGCTTACGATTGTTCTCACTGTCCCTCTTTGTCCAGACCGGCCCGTTTCCCTGATCTGTGTTTCATGGTTATCATCATTGTCATTCTGAGGACGTAAGCCGGCGGGGGTATAGATTTGCCTCCATCGCATGCCACCAGGAAAGGCTTCAGAACATGGCATGCACGGGGCCCGCTGCTCCTTCGTCAGTCTGTGACCCTCCTGATGTGCTGCCATAAGGAAGGGTCCCCCCGGGTGGCAGGCTGCCTGACGTCCTTGCCAGCGTCCTTCGTCTGTCTCGGTCTCCTCATCTCTGGGTGGGTACCAGTGTTAAGTGGGGTGGTGCCGGAATATGGAGCACTCAGCTGGGTGTTGTCTGTGTTGCATAGCTGTTGTCACCATGTCATCTGTCATTGCCTCAAGGAATCCGTCCTCCACGTCACATCGTGGCCTGACCCTCCTGCCTGGATGGGTCTGAAGGCACAGGGTTAGCTGGGGCCTGTCCTGGGCTGGGCTGGCCTGCGTCTTGGCAGGACGGGGGGCACACAGGCAGGTTTTGGGGAGAAACATGCAGAAGGTTGAGATCCGATGGCGGTTGATTAGTTAGAACTAGCACAGCTTGAGGATGGGCGTTGCCTGCGTCTGTTCTTCTGTAGCCAGGCGGTGTGCGCCAGGAGGAGAGCTGGGCTCTGGGTGCAGCCCTTGCTGAATGTCCAGCCTTGGGTTCCAGCAACAAAGCATGGCCCCCTTTCTGCTGGGCCCCCAGGAATTCCCAGAAATATTTGCAAACCCCATCGGCCTGGACTTTCTGTGTGCAGGTTACCAAAAGCCCTACCCAAGAAAAGAAACTCATAAACAAGAAAAGGAATTTATTGATCGGCGTGCTGAGCAGTCCAGGGGTAATGACAGCTTCAGGTCTGGCTGGATCCAGGGTAGGTGCAACATCATTAGTGTTACCAGACATAAACACGGGTTCTTTTACCTGCCACATGAGAGAGACCAAAATGAAAACTGGAAGGCCAGGCTTATGGCAAGGAAAGGATTTTTATTTTGGGTGACGTCAGCCCTCAAATTCGTCTCCTTGAAAGATGGGAGGCAAGGTATTTTAAAAGTTGTGAGGAATGTGGCTGCTTGCAGGGAGGGGGAGTCTGTGGCCTCGCTGATTGGCACTGTCCCACCAGCCTGCGTTTGGCCTTGTGAGGCTGCTGGTAGGGAGGAGGATGGCGAGATAAGGGAATCCACAGGAGAGCATCCTTGGTTGTCGGCCTCCATGGTGCATGGTGGATTCTGGTCCCAGGAAGCTGAGGAGTTGGGGCCTGGGAAGCTTCCGTTTCTTGATATTCTCTGGACATCAGTTTCCCTGTAATGAACTTCAGAGGACCCGTAACCAGTCAAAATGTGCATATGAGGCCACCTGGGCTCTAACAGTTTGTGACTTCTACTTGCCTAGTGAAGTTTGGGGATACTAGGGTTACAGAACCTGGTAATTACCTGTGATTGTAACTTAGGGAAACGGGGCGGGGGGTCCTTTGGTTTTGACCCAATGCGTGCTGGGTTTAAGGTAGGGGATGATGTCGGCCGTCTCATTAGGACTCTGTTTCTCTTCTCCCCGACCCTGCTCAGCTCGTCCCTCTCTCTGCTGGCCTCCTTCGTGCTCCGCGTCTGGGTGCTGTGGCTCCCGTCTTGGGAACTCTTGGGCTCAAATCCAGTAGGAAATTAGGACATTCATCTTCCTTGTTTCTTCAGCACCAGCCCTGGCTTTCCTCAGCCGGGTCACATGCCCATCCAGGCGCCAATTAGCTACAGTTCACGGGTTCCCCAAAGAGGACCAGGAGGTGTTGCCAGAAGTGGGGAGAACAGATGGCGAGTCCCCAGACAGGAAGTTCCACTGCACACGCCCCTCAGACACGCCCTGGCCCTGGACGACGGCGCCTCCCTCGCCGCTCGCTCTCTAAGACCACACTTCCCAGGGACGTTGCTGTGGGCTCTGGGCCTGCAGACTGCACTCACCTTGCCCTCAGCCTCCCACAGGGGCAGCAAGACCCAGGCAGGGATTAACAAGGCTGCCCTGAAGGCTTGGGGAGGAGAGGGCAATGACGACACGTCCTCCTTCCCCCAAGGCTGCCCCCATAAGCCGGGCAGCATCTGCGCCCCTTCCACTCCTGGACTCCATGCCCCTCCTGCAGGGCCAGGAGCACAGTAACCACCGTCCCCACCCCTCTGAAGGCCCATTCTCAGGACGGAGTCAGCCGCGCAAAGACAGCGTGTGTACAACGATGAAAAGCCATTTGCTGCCCCTCCTCTTGGCCTTGGAGAACCAAAAGCCCATTGCTACGGTCTGAATCTTTGTGTCCCCCCAAATTCGTCTGTGGAAACCCTCACCCCCAGTGCGATGGTGTTAGGAGGTGGGGCCTTTGGAAGGTGACTAGGTCGTGAAGGTGGAGTCCCCGTGAATGGGGTTAGTGCCATGGAAGAGGCCCCAGAGAGCTCTCTCGCCCCCTCTGTGCGAGGACACAGCGAGAAGTCGGTGACCTGGAAGAGGGCCCATGCTGGACCACGCTGGCACCTGACTCAGGCTTCCTGGCTCCAGAACTGTTTAGAGAAGCTTCTGGTCCGTGGATTCTTATAGCAGTCTGAGCTAGCACACACGTCAAGGTGGTTTTTCTGAAACACAGGAGCAGTTTACTCCTCAAGGAGAATTCACTCCTCCACTCAGGAGAACCCAGAGATGGGGTGACACTCCAGCAGTCAGAGCCACGCCCGCCCGCGGGTGACGGGAGCCTTGTTCCTTCGAGGATGGTCGTCGGCATGGCCGGCGCGTGGAGGGGTGCGGACGCTGCGGGCAGCTCTCCCCAGCCCTGTGACCTGTCCCCGGCTTTGAGGGGATGGGGGTGGTGACACGAAGGAGTCCCAGGAAGTGGGGCCGTGGGGTTCAGCAGCTGAGGAGGTGGGAAGCTCACATGTTGTCACCTGAGATGACCTCACCCCGGGTGACAGGCAGGCCCCCTCAGTACAGGCCTCATCACCCCAGGGTGTCCCAGGGCAGGGTGGGCACCTTGCTGACTGTGGGGAGGAAGTGGGCGCCTGGTGTGACATCCTCATGTCTGCAGGCCCCGCCCACTTTGGGGGAGGCCATGGCTTGGGCACTCCCGAGTCTGCTGGAGCACTCAGCAGGAGCACTCCACGTCTGAGGTGAGGCCTGCCTGTTCCCACACCCGTGTGTGTTGGAAACGGGATGAGGGAGCCTCTGTCTCAGGGAAGGGAGAGAGAGTGAGCATGCGACACAGGACGGCCTCGTCGGATGGAGGCAGGGTCAGAGGTCCCAAAACATCGACTGCAGGAGCTGCCTGAGCTCAGGGGCTCCAGGACCCTGGCCCCTGCCAGCCTGTTACAGGTGGTGACCTCCAGTTACAGGGCGATGTCTCTCCAGTTACAGATAGTGTCTCCCGGTTATAGGGCAGTGTCCTCCAGTTACAGGCTAGTGTCTCCCCTGTCCATAGGGTAGTGTCCTTCCAGTTATAGGACAGTCACCAGAGCTCAGCCAATGAAAAGATACTGGTTCTTCTCTGCAGCCAGCAGGTCGCTGAAGGGTCCTGGCCCTCTCCTCAGACACAGACACAGACAAGACCCTCCCTGCTTCCTGGAGAGGGAAGGTCAAACGCAGAGCTAACTCCACATCTCTTGGGGCTGCTCCTGAGAGCTAAGACTCACCAGCGCCATTCTCTCCACCCCGGAGGGTCCCACAAGCCTGGGCTAAAACACTCAGTGACACAGCAGCCTGAGGGAGCCCACGAGGACCCAGGTCTCATCACACGGGTTTACTGAAGCAGCCACATCCACGACCCGGCTTAGGTGGTCCTTCAGACAGGAATTGATCCAAACTTTATTTCGCTGGAATCCTACAGGCAAAAGGACGGGAGAGTTTTGAGAGAGATATCACGTCCCATAAGGTCAATCCATTAGAAATCAAGGAAAAAAAAAAAACTATAGTAAGACCCCAGAACATGCCAGAAAAGTAGTCAGAAGACAAAGGCACACCGTTTCCAAGGGACCCATTGACACCCAAAAGGAGTGAGCAGCTGGTTATGCAAAACTGGAAATTAGCAGAATTCGGATAGTAAGACTAAGGTTAAAATCATCCGCTGTGTGTAGTCGGCAAGCGTGGCTTTACACAGCTCCTCGGCAAGCTTCCTGAAGGACAGTTTGACAGTAGGTTCCAAAAGGCCCAAAGACGTGCATTTCATTTCACACACACGAACCCGCTTCTGACAGTTCGTCCTCAGTTTTTATACAAAGAGAAGGAGGTCGCCAAGGGAATTACTTGGGTGCTTGACCTGGAGGAGCTCTTCCACGCTGAAGTGGTCATTGCTGGGGAGGTAGTTAGGGCCGTGTCCCAGAGACATGGATCCATCAGCGAGCTCCCCGTCATTCGGGGCTCCGCCTTCTCTGTTCTGCCCGTCAGGGGCATCTTCCCATCCTCGCCATCCTCTGTCTTCTCGCCCAGGGCTCCTTGAAGAACCCCCTTGATGGGCTCCCTCAGCTGCTGCCTCAAAAAGCCCCCAGTGAAGAAATGAATGGCAGGGTTAGCAGCGCTGTTGGTGGAAGACAGGAGGACGCAGATGTCATTGCGAGACTTCTTCTCCGTTTCCAGCGTGGGGAGCCCGATGATGCTGAGAGGCGGACCACAGAGAAGGAAGACCAGAATGGAGAGCAGAATGGCCAGGTGGGAGCTCTTTTGGCTGATGCTCTTGGACTCGGATGGGGAGCTGCAGGATGGATGCAGCCACAATGGAGAACGGGGAAAATACAGGCGCTGGTGGTGGTTACAAGTGCGGGGCAGAGCTTCGTTTTGGGGATAAGTGACCGTAGGTGTGGCCTGTCAGTATATTCATCAAAAGGGTCAGAATCCAGAGGAGGGTGCTCACAACGGCTGCCAGGGGCTTGGGGCAATGACACGGATACAAAATAGGGAAGAGGGCGGAGAGACGATGCTGAAAACTGATGGCGGTCATGCTGCCCAGGCCAGTGAAATAGGAGAACCTTAGGACCGTAAAGATACCAAGAAGAGGAAAGCAACGAGGAACGGAAGACTTTAGAGTTTGACAGATGGAGACATGATCTGGAAACAAAGATGCGTGAAATCCACAGTGGTGAGACTGAGGCTATAGACAGAAGGATTTTTTCCTGATGGACGAACCGACAAGCCAGATTATGATTCCATTTCCCACCAACCCATAAAGGGCCACAGCCAGCATGAAGGACCGGAAGAGCACGTGGCCAGTAATCTCTGTTCTTGGAGATTTCCCTGTGGGGTCAATGCTGGAATTATTGGTTGGCTTGCAAAACTGGTCTATGGTGAGGAGATCTGAGTTCAGGAAAGTTCTGCTGGGTTCTTTCCATCAGTGGATTCTGGGCACTCTTGGGCAGATGGCAAAGACGGAAATGCAGAACCTCAGGCAAGGAGGCCCCTTGCTTCTTCCTCCTCTCTCTGGCTCTCTCCTCACTCCTCCTTTCCACCCCTCCCTCCCTCTTCCCTCCTTTTGTCTCTCTCTCTCTTCCCCTTCCCTCTGTTTCCTGCCCCCAGCCCTGGCCACAAAAGTCCTGAGTGAAAGGCCTTCCTGCCGTTCCTGGTTCCCACCAAAGCATGCTTGAGCTCTCAGATTTTCCCTCATGGGCTGGGCCCCTTGTGCATCAGAATGGCTCACTCATTCTTTTCTGCATTCAACAAACTGATTTGCTGGATGTCCCCTCCAGGTCAGGGTGAGGGGAGTTGGGGAGACCCAGTCTCTGCCCTCAAGGACCCCAAGGTAACAACCATTTACAGGACAGTGTGATGAGAGAAAGAAGAGCACCTCCTTGAGCTGACCCTTGAAGACATAGTAGAAATCGTCAAGAGGGACGATGCACAACGCAGAGAAACCGCTGGAGGAAGAGCCAGGTGCTTGGGGAGCACGTCCACTCAAGGGTGGGACTCTTGCTATGGCTGGTACGTGAAGAGCAGTTTGGGATCAGGAGAGAGGACCATAGACAGTGTAAAGGTGGGTGGAGGCATCTGGTCCACCTTCTTACTTGGGTCCGGGTGGAGAGCTCGGTGAGCTCGGTGGCCGCCCAGATGTGCTGATGTCTGCACTGTGAGCCAGGCCTGATCCCAGAGGATCTCAACCACTCCAGCTGCTTCAATGCCATCCACGTGCTAATGACTCGGCAAAGAGAGTCAGCCACCAACGGTGCTCTTTGGGCTCTGAGGGCTATGCGTTCTCACACCTCGGTAGCTGTGGTAGACAGAAGAATGACTCCTCCCAATAGTGCTCACGCCCTGATCCCCAGAACCTGTGGATGTGTTAAGCTAGCAAGAGGGAATTAAGGTTGCAGATGGAATGAAGGTTGCTAATCAACTGATCTGAAAACATGGAGATTATCCTGGATTGTCCAGGTGGGCCCTAAATGTAATCACATGGGTCAGAGGAGGAGATATGACGATGGAAGCAGAGGGAGGAGTGATGCGATTGTTGGCTTTGAAGATACTGGAAGAGGCCATGAGCCAAGGGGTGCAGGTGGCCTCTAGAAGCTGAAAAAAGACAAGGGAATGGATTCTGCCCTGGAGCTTCCAGAAGGAGCGTAACCCTGTTGACACCTTGATTGTAGCCCGGTGAGACCCATTTTGGATTTTGGACCTCCAGAACTGTCAGGGAGCAGATTAGTGGTAATTTGCTCCAACAGCAGTAGGAGGCTCTTACGGCATCCCCTTCCATTGCCCTTTGGGCTTCACACCTCTTAGCTTTCCCTCCCTTGATTTCCGGCTTTTCCTTGCTTTCCACTCAGACTTCTTCAGCTCCTCTCCTTTTTTCCTCCCCAAGATGCTGATGCTTTCCAGGCCCCTTTTCTCGGCATTCTGCTCTCTGCTGTTTAAGCCGTGTCCCTGAATTCTGATCTCCTCCTTCGCAGGGCTTCCTGTGGTCACTCAGTTCCCAGGTACCGTCTCTAGCCTCCATCTCTCCTTAGCCCCAGGCTTGCTTATTGAACTGCCTCCTGATAACACCAAGCAGAACACCGCCCCTCAAACTCGTGCCCTTCATGGCATGTTTCTTATTCCTACAAGTTCCATAACCACACAAAACCCAGTCCCTTGGATCGGAAATGTGCGACTCCCTGGAGGGCATCAGGGCCACTCTGGGGCCGGACTCTTTGGGTTGGGTTCCTGCCCTTCCCACTAACTAGTGAGGGCCTTTGTGCAACATACTTGATCTTTCTGTGTCCCCATTTCTTCATCTAGAGCAGAGATTGGCAACATTTTTCTGTAAAGAGCCAGATAATAAATATTTTAGGCTCCACAGGCCACTGAACTCCCGACTCCACCCTTGTAGCGGGAAGGTCCCCAAGACTTCTGCCGGTGTATGCCGGCTCCTTCCTGGGGCTCTTCCTTATTAGGTCAGAAGGTCCCAGGCTGGGTTGTGTTGAGATGAAGCTCGTCATCTGCCTGGTGGCGGGGAGAGGAGGTGTGGGCAGATATTGGGGGATCGGGGGCACGTGCTCTCTTGTAGGGTAGAGGTCCCTGCATTGTGTCCAATAGGGAGGGCTGAGCACTCTGCATGCTCAGAGGGTGCAGGGAATCTGGGGGTTCAAGATTTGGGGTGCATCACCCCGATGTCCTCATCCACATCAGGGTCCCATTCTGCCCTAAGGTGGCTGACCCGCCAGGTGGGGAGTTCATTCTCTGGAGCTCAGCTGGCCTTTAGGCCCTGGGTCTGGACCTAGCGGCAGCATCCTGGCTGCAGGAGGGGAGGGCCTTACATCCACCCAGTAGCCCTTGGCACCCACACCTCCGTCCCATTGTCGATTCATCCCACAGCCGCTGATCACGTTTAACTCGATGTAAAGAGCCACCTGACCCCACCATGTACAGATTCTACTCTGACATGTTTCTCAAATGCCCAGTATGCTGCCCCAGCAGGACCCCACCCGCCACGAGGGAGGTTCACCCATCACACGTCAACGGGCCGGGGCCCTGTGTGCTCTGTGCCGCCTGCAGGCGGTGGATCCTCCTGGTCCAGATGCCGTCTCAGCATTTGCTCTTTGCCGCCACTCCTGGAGTCAGCTGCAGCATATCAGGGTCCCCAGAAGCAGGCTCTGTGAGGAGGGGCTCACAGAAGCTTGGGGAGGAGGGACAGGGAACATCCCAGGGTGCTCCCATGGTGCAGAGCACGGAGGTGCCATCGGGCTGCTCACCACTCTCCCTTGACCACACTCTCTGTTGGCCTCCTCTCTCCACTGGCCCACCGCACGCCAGAGTGCTGAGCAGGTCTGGGGTCCAGGCTCCCCTCGACCCTAGAGGAATAGGCCCCCAAGCCAGGAACCTTTTGCTGGTCTCCTTTCCACGCCGAACACAGGGACGTACAGATCCTTGGCATCTAACTCATGGGATCCCAGTCCCCAATTCCCAGGGTCGGGAGTACAGAAAGAACAAGCGCTGGCAGGAAGGAGGTGCCAGGAGAGTTACCAGCTCCCCAGAGCCTGGAGACCAGACCCCGGCTTCCTCGAAGTGTCGTCTGGGCACGCAGAGAAGTTCAGGAGCCCAGGAGGTATGCCTGAAAATGCTCAGGAGATGATGCTGCCCCACACAGTTCAGAGCCCGAGGGGAGGCCCCAGGCAGCTGGAGGCCAATTGCAAGAGAGCCGAGTGGCCTAGGCCTGGGCTCAGAGGGGTATGTGGAAGTGGGCGAGTTTGGGGAAGGGCCGGCGGCTCCTTGATCTTTACGTGTGAACCAAATGCCACAGCTACAATGTGCCAGAGAGCCACCATCTAAGAATATGTACCCTTGAGTGAGCCACTCTGCTTCTGGGTTCCGTTACGCAAGAAAGGAGTAACTGTATTTCTCAGAGGTAATAACATTTTCTGAGGTGACGGGTCAGCAGGATGAACCAGGAAGGAGGTCCCACCAGAGCACGCCCAGCAGAGTACACGGGATGTGCCAATGCCCTGGGGGCTGGCAGGGGACCCAGGCTCTGGGAGTCGGGGCCCAGGACAGAAGGCTGAGTGGGAACACGCGGGTGAGGCCGGAGCATGCAGGGGACATCCTTCGGGCCCCATTAAGAGTTCTCTACTTGACACAAAGGCCCGTGGCAGCCACAAAATGTTTTTAAAGGTGGAGGGGGGAGGTGACATCGTCCTCTCGAGTTTGTGAAAGACGGCTCGAGTGTGAAGACCGGCTTGGGTGACCGCAGCTGTGGGTGGATGCAGAGGGGACCTCGGCAGGCTCCAGACGGTGCTCCATGACCCAGGAGGGCACAAAGACAAGGGTGGGCGCGTTTGAAAGGTGGGAGTGTGGAAGGGAGATGAGGCAGGGCGAGGAGGAGCCTACAGCTGGGTACACAGCTGTATGGAGCGGGGCGTCTGGGTCCCCGTTAAGCACGTAATGAATCTGAGACTGGGGGCTTCGGACAAGTTGTCTCACCCCACGGGTTTGAAGGAGCGCCTGCATCCAAGCCCAGCCCAGTGGCTTCAGAGCCTGCAGCCGGCTCTTCTCATGTAAATTGGTTCCAGTTAGGGCCACTCATCAGTCCTAGAAGTGAGAAAAAGGAAGAGCTGATCACTTCGTGAATCCTGCCGCGTGAGAACAGCAAGTGCCACTTCCTGTGTCGCAACCAGTGCCCCTGTTTTGGTTAAGGAAGAGACGGGGAGTTTCGGGGTCTAAAAGCAGAAGGGAAGGGGCTGTGACAGGACCAGCTGCAGAGGGGCTCCTGGTGAGGCCCCCGCTGGCCCGGGAGAGGAGGCCCCGCACGCCCGCCGACCTGCAGCTCAGCCGAAGCCCGCGGCGGACCCCAGGGGCAGGTAGGCATCCAGGGGGTCTTCCCCGGGCTGCGAGCCCCTCATCCTTTGGAAAGGGCACTGATGAGGGAGAGGAGAGTCTCGCTCTCTTGTCCCTGCATCTGAGGAGCTTCAGGCCTCGGGGCGGCCCCCCCTCGCCTGTCGAGCGGGCCCCTGGCAGCTCTGGGGGTCCACGATCTTGGGGCACGCCCTCTGCTTCCAGTACACATCGCAGCTTTCAGCCCACACTCAGTTTAGTTGATTCCACGGTAACTCAGCTCCATCATGTCTCTGGCCTAGTTCTAGAAACAGAGACAATTGCTGCGGGTAGAACCCTGTGAAGTGTGAGTCCTCGTGGTGCCCAAGACGGAGACCTCGATGCTCCCTGCCAGTTAGGGCAGCGCGGGGTCGACGGGGGCCTGTGGAGCCCAGACCTCCCCTTGATGAAAGAAAGCCAGGCCCACGTGTGATCTCCAGCTGCAGAGAGGGGCCACGGTGATCCCAGGGTCTCTCCTGCGTCCTGCGCTGTCTTTGGCTGTGTGTTCCTGCAGCCCCATGCTGTTCCCACCAGACTCCACCAGGCGCCTAGTTTGGGGTATGGTTCCCAGCTGTATATGTTACCCCCACCAGCCTGGAGGCCTGGGGCATCCCGCAAGCTCTGAGACAGCTGGACCAAGGGCCAGGGGGCAGAACCATCGCCTCTTCAGACAGCCGTGTGCCCTGTTCTAACTGTGCCGTCCTCGGAGGGGCCGTGCAGCGAACAGGACTAGGGACAGGCAGGGCCGAGCGCACCTGGGAGACCACATGCCCCTGAAGGGCCGGACCACAGCCTGTGAGCCAGTGATGTTCCCAGGAGAGAAGCCAGGCCGAACCCAAATTTTCCCAAATCTTAGTCTGTGTCGCCCGCGTGCAGCCCCATGTCAAGGCTGCAGGATAACTGCGGCTGACGGGACTCGTCAGCGTGAGAACTCGACATGACGATACTCGCTATTGCTAATCACTTATCGCACGTAATTACTGTATGTAAATTACATTTACGGCATAATTGCTAACATTTGTTGCACATTTATTACTGCCGCGTGCTGTGCCAGGTGCTTATGTTCTGAGCGTGTTATTAGTTCAGAACCAACAACTTAGACTCTCCGCTTGTGAGTGTCACCGGGTGTTGGCATCAGCACCAGCAGAGCACAGAGCCTTGTACACTGTGGGAGCCTGGAAAACTCTGATGTCAATTGTTAGTTTTACTAATAAGAATTCCTATTCTCCCTAGGGCCACAGAAGCAGTCAGAGCTAAGGGGACGTCCTGAAGGGGGCGGGCCTCGCCCAAGAAAGGGAAGGACACCGGACCTTGGGAGGCATCGGATCTCATTCCTGGCTGAGGCCAAGGGGAGTGTATTCCTGTCCTGTTCGTGGAGGTGAGGGCTGGGGGCGACCAGGGGAAGCGGAGAGAGAGGGACATAGAGGGAGCAGCCACAGGCCGGCTCGGGCTGGCATCTCTGCCTCTGATGCTCCTCTGGGTCTGGCTCTGCCGTCCGGGGAACTCTGGTTACCAAGAGGCGTCGACGGTGTCGAGTCCCCCGCGAGAATGCTCACCATCCTGCAATGTGAGGTGCCCACTCTTTTCCCAGGTCCCGTCCCAAAACCCGGGTCACCCCTAGATTAAAGGAGGGTTCTGGCCCCTACCTGGGGAGATCTGAAATGTGGGAGGTTTGCCATTTTAAGGTCCAGTTGGAGCCAGATAGAGGTCCCTGCCTCTTCCAGTGGCAGGAGCATGCTGTCCTACACTGTGCCCGGTGAGAACATTACGGTCCTTCTACCGGGGGGCTCCCTCGTGCCCCACCCAGAGGAATTGGAGCCTCCCGACCAGGATGACAGGAAAAAAGGTCTGAAGAATGAGGCCAAAGTGCTTGGGGTAAGTGCAGCTGCACACAGGGGACGGGCTGAGTGCAGGTGACAAGTCCACGGGCGGGGTGGAGACTTCCGTGTCACTGCGGGGCCCCAGGCTGCTCTGGAGGCCGGGGGAGAGGAGTCCTCTGAGACCACCCAAGGCCTTCTCCTTGGGAAAGCAGGAGATGTCCCAGTTTGCGTTCCCAGGGAGTGTTCACCTGAGCTTGATTTACGAAACTGGACTTTCTTAACTCATTTTAAATGAGCGACTGGGTGATAATATACTTGCATACACCTTATTTTGGGGGTGCTCAAAAATCTGTGAAAAACTCTTCTAGATTTTACTTCCCAGGGAAGTTCTTTCTGAAAATTATAGAAACTTCATCCCCCTGCTCACCCTTTTTGAAAACGTTAACCATTTTGAAAACAGATTGGACATTTGCGCTTTGTCTGACTTCGAATGAGATCTCTGTTGTAATCCACGATTCCTCAACAAGAAGCCGCTCCACTTCATGACTGAAGGGAGGCAACGGGGGGGCGGGGACGGGGCAAGCGGCTGCAGAGGCCAGGGGCGGGGATCCTGATGCCTGGTACCTCCTCAGTGCCTCCCTGACCACACAGGCTGCTACAGCTCCCTCAGTCTCACCATGTATCTGTCTCACCTTGGGTTGAAAAGAGCTTGCTTGCTGAGTCAGTCTTGAGGTCCATTAAGAGACTCCCTTCTCACAACACCTGAGAAATTGCTTGGTACATGTTATATGAGCGTAAAAACTTGTGGTGGAATTATTCCGGGGCTGATTCAGACAGTCCGCTTCATAGCCCTGTCATAGCTCCTGGGGTCCCTCTCAGCTAGGGAGCCATGCCCTGAACAGAAGTCCATTCACCTGGCACAAGGTGGGGACCAGCTCCCACACCACCAGCTGTCTTGGAGGCACATCCGTGTCACAGAAGGGAGGAGGGGAGAAGCCGGAAGGAAGCAGAGAGCGTGGGCCATCTGAGGGCTGGGTTCCAGGGCTCTCGCTGGAAACCCGGTCCCTTCCACCCAGGGCCGAGAGGCAGGAACACCATGCGTTTCCCTGCGCCCTCATCGGGGCCAGTGATGGGCAGGGCCGGGCAGCACACCATCCACGCTGGCTTTCCAAACCCCCAGAGTTCTATGCAGTGCGCTGGGGTCACACCGAGAGCTCTGAGCGGGCCTGCCCTTAACTGGCTTACCCAGCGAGTCCGTTCCTCGGGCTGAAATAACACAGGACACAAACCGGGTGGCTTGAAGACAACAGAAACATAATCTGTCCCAGTTCTGGAGGCTACGAGCCGAGCATCGGGCTCCGCAGGGCTGTGAGCTCTCCTAGTCCTGGGGCTGCACGGGCTCCTTGCTCACAGCCGCGGGACTCCAGTCCCCGCCTCCGACTTCTCGCGCCCTTCCCTCTGCGTCTGTCTCTCTGTCTCTCCTCTTCTTGTAACCACATCAGTCACGTTGGATTAAGGGCCCACCCTACCCCACTGGGAGCTCACCTTCACTCACATCTCAGTTACACCTGCAAAACCTCTCTTTCCAAACAAGGCCACATTTCCCAGTTCTGGGGTGGAGGGCTCAGACGTAGACTTTGGGGGGACGCATTCAACCCGCAACACCAGGTAAGCCTCTCTCTCCCCCTCAGACCATCCAGATCCTCTCAGGGGCCATGATTATGAGCCTGGGGGTCCTTCTGCTGTGGACTTCCTTCCCCCGTCACTTCAGCCCGGTTATTGTAACCTTGGTGTCGTCTGGATACCCGTTCGTTGGTGCCAAGTGTGTGAGTCCCGTGGGCACTCGTGGGAGGGTGGGTCCCTGGGGGGGGGGGGGGGGCGCGGGCTCAGTCTGGTCTGCTCACCTGTCACCTGGCAGTGTCCGTTATTTGGAAAGCAGAGATGCAGGTGTGGAATCTGCTTTGGGGCTGACGGGCCAGAAGTGGGAGGAGGCCAGGGAGGGTGGAAATGACTCTGCCAGTGGGAACAGCATCGACTTGCTGGCTCAGAGATCAGTTCTTCTGAAAATCATCGTACTGTTGTCCTCTAGGCCTCTGGGAGTTCAGCAGCTTTTCTCTGGGGTGACCATATAATCTGTAGAGCCAACAGGGACACTAGTAAACATAAAAGAAGGTGCTATTAATAATAATGCTGTGACAAGAAGTACACCCGGACTGTCCTTGGCAGCCGGGACGTAGGGTCACCCTACTCCTTTCCAAGTTCAGGAGAAGCCTGGGGTGGGAGGGGGATAGGAAGGACCACCCCCCCCCAGATATGATCAGTGAGGAACAGCGAGACCCAGGCACACGGGCCGAGTAACCCGGATATGGGCAGCACACACCGGCCGAGTGGCCAGGCCGGTGGTCGGCAGCTGTGGGACCAGTGGACCCCACCCTAAATGTGAAAAGATGGATCTGATTGCTCAGAAGCTCTGCCTGCTGCTGTCCATCTCCAGAAGCCCTTCTGGAGAGTTCTGCTTCAGACCCACCTGGGAGTCCTGAGTCATCCTGACGCCCCCGGGGTCAACGAGCTTCAGGGGAGATGTGAACGCCCCTTTCCCACAGCCTAGAGCCTGGCCACGCCTCGCCCCGCCTGTCGTGCCGGAGGTGACTTTGGCACTCTCCCTGGGCTGCTGCCCAGCGTGCCTGCCCTCTCCCCGGGGGCTCCTTCTGCTAGGACTCCTGGGACAACTTTTTGCTTCCATCTTGCCACAAAGTTCCGCTGCATAATTTGGTTGTTACAGCTTCTTAGAAATTACCCCATTCCCCTAAACCCGTCTTTTTCTCTGATGACCCAGAATCAAACACTTTGATCCAGCTTTTTGCGAGGCCCTGCAGGTTCCTCTCCCCCGGGCTCTGTTTTCCTTCCGTTCTTGACTCTCATCTACCAGAGCCCACGGAGCCAACAATCCTTCCCCACAAGGCCCTGTAACGCTCAGCAGCCCTCCCTCCCTGGAAAAGCCTCGCTCCCAGAGAAAGCCCTGGACCCTAAGCCCCTTCGCCCCGGAGGCACGTTGTCTCCGAGCGGTCTCAAGTCCTCATGGGATTTTTTTGGATTTCTTCGTCCTCCTGTGTCACCTGCCTTTCCCCACTTGTTCTGTAAGCCCCTATGGACCTGGATGTGACCCAGGACCCAATGTCCCTGATGCCTTCAGTCCTACAAGGATGTTCCTGGAGGTGACCCAGGACATGACAGCTTGGTGGTAAGGACATCAGGGCTGCCTCTCTGCATAGAAACTGACCTGACTATTTTCCTCTTTTCTGAGTAGTTTATCATTTCTGGATTGCTATGTGTCAACTTGGAAAAAAGATCAGCTAAGCGTTTGGTGAGTATGGGGCCAGCGGCAGCTCAATTCTTCCTGGGAAATTCGGAGGGCACCCCTCCCAGTTGCTCTCTCACACTTTCACATGAAGGAACGGACCCCCGGGTCAGCTACAGGCGCCCTCGGCCAGCGCCTGGTCAGCACCCGCTGGTTTCTGGGGCTCCTTTCATGATCCCTGTTCTGCACCCAGCACCGAGCCTTCGACAGGCACTGAGTGGCTCCACGGAGAAATCCTGTCCAGTCATGACACCATTTGGTGCCAGCTGGCTGCCTGGATCCAGGTCCTTGGTGACCACAGGGTAAAGAGGTGATGGGGTACTTGCTGTTTGCCGCCAACTGGGCAAGAAAATCTGAGACCACAAGACCACAAGAAATGTCCCTCCCTCGAGATGAAGCCAGAGCGGAGTCTGTGTGGGCTGGAGGAGAAAATGTTCTGGCTGAGACCGGTGTTGGTCACTGGTGGTGGCCAGAGGCACCAGGAACTTTAACTGTCCTCTCTTCCCAGGTGACACGCAGGGCAGTGGCTGTCACATCCCAGTCACCCAACTCACTCCCCCACCCTGGGGAGCCTGGGGTGGGGCAAGACCCCAGGGGTTGCTTTAGGGGGGTTCCTTCTGCATGGGGGCAGGAGAAGGAAACTATAAGCGTGTCCCCTGGTTTTCCAAGGACTTTGTCTCCCTGACAGTTTGGGCTCAACATGAACCCGGTGATGAGTCCGGGATGAAGCTCTTCCCTCGTTAGATGAGGCAACAGGAAATGGGGTCTCCTGCTGCCACACTTCAGGGGTCACTCGTCCAACACCAAGGGCAGCTCTTCTGTGGTGCCTCCGAGGAAAGCCTCGAGGCGGAGCCCATCGTAGCCCCCGAGACTCTGACCTCAGTCAGGACAGCGGAGGATTCACAGGGAAGTTTAAATGTGGTAACTGGGCCCCACAAATGACTTCCCGTTGCACACTGTGCCTGCTTGTGCCCGACGTAGGTTACCAGGGTTTTCAGGAGCTTAGAGAACATTCTGGGACCCTTAGGCAGGAGGCAGTAGCTCTCAGCGGGCAAAGCTCATGTTTCAATGTGGGAAAAAGCCAAATAATCAGACCTCCCACTGACAAAGCCACAGAGAGAAGAGGAAGGAGAGAACTCGCTGAACAAAACTTGCAGACAGAGGAGAACTCTTCTGAGCTGTCGGCCTTAAGATCACAGCGTGGTTTCCTCTGGGGACATTTGCAGATTCTGGATGAGAAATAAGGACCAGGCTTGGTCTGGGAAGAGACTTCTGCTGAGAGAAGGAAAACCAGTGCAGCTTTGAGCAGCCACCCGAAGCTGAAGTGACCAGTCGGGCACGTGGGGCACTGAGGACACAGCCAGATTTCCGCGTGGAGCAGCTGCCGAGTCCTGGGCCCGCCGAGTCCCCACAGAGGCAGGGAAAGGAGAGCGAGGCCTCCACCAGGAGGGGTGACATATTCGGCATCTCATGGATCTTAGGACGGAAGACCAGGCTGGGGAGGGATCAGGCATGCCACAGCTGGACCCCATCAAGATTTTGCTAGGATGTGGAGCCGTGTGGGGTGAGAGAACACAAATCTGTGCCAGGAACCCTGAGGGTAAACACCCCAGGACTGAGGACTGAAGGGGGTATCTGCCAGGCTCTGGTACAAACCAGGGGAGGGCCACCCCCAAAGAGCAGGGGTGGACCGAGAGAGAAGGGGTCTTCCTAAGACGCCTCCAGCCCCTCCTGGCTCAACCGCTCGTCTCCACGTGTGGCCTGCTGGCACCCATCTTGACTACAGTTTGTCTTGTGTTTCTATCGTGCCTTGAGGCTGAGCTCTCCGTAGAACACTCTTGGTAAGGGCTCTGAGCCCCAGGAAGAAGATCCAGCCTGTGATGCTGAGACACTGGGTCTAGAACATCCCTCATGCTTCAGGGACCCTGAGCTCTTCCAGGAATAAGCGAAGGGGCCTCACTTCCAGCCCCTGCTCCGCGGGGGCCTCTCTGATAACTGGAGCCCGGCTCAGTTCTTAACACACAGCCGCTCCACCTGCGAGCCAGGCTGGCAAGAGCTCCACCACCTGGGCTCAGGCTGTGGGCTGGGAGGGCCAAGGCGGGCCAGCCCCAGGTCACATAGGATGCAGCTTTCACAGAAGTGACTACAAAGAACAGGCGTCAAACTGGGCCAACTTAGGTAAACTAAGTTCGTGCTGAGGGCCAGCAGAAGCAACAGGAAACAGCACATTTCCTCAAATATCAGTAAAAATACGGACTAATGGGGTCCATACAATATTAATGAACCCAGAGTGGCCAGGTAATAAAGAAACAGACTCTCTGAGTTTTAAGTACCTCAGCGCCTTGCTCCCTGCATCAGCTTTATGGCAGAAGATACTCCGAGCATCTTCTCATTACCTTCTGGGAAATGCCTTTCTCCGGCACTTCACCCCGTTAGGTGCGTGCGCTGGGGTGAGCCGTGTGATAAAGGGAAGGAGCGCAGCCTCCCCGGTGCTCCCGGGGCCCTTCTGGAGCTTTGCTCCCAGGACCATCGTCAGGAATTAGCTCCGGCTGGCATGGTGGCAATATGATTTGAAGTGTCACGGCATGAAAAGGGCCGGGATCATCTTTTCCCAGGGATTTCTCGAGGCTCCAAGAGGGGTGGCGTGGTCCTTCCAGGAGACGAGAAGGCCAGAAGGTGAGGACCCGGGTTTGTTCTCCTGTTGATGCCGGGCGTCCCCTTCCTAACCATAGAGAGGGGCTCACTTCCCAGGGGCTCCCTCGCTGAACTGAGGCCTCTGTTCTCAGCATCGCCAAGACTTAATGGAAAATGAAGCTCCCGGGTGGAAGGCTGTGCAGAACAAAGGAGGCGCTGAAAACCGCCCCCTGCCCAGTTCTGTAGTCTCCACACACTGACAGTGTGTGCTAACGCATCCCACAGGTGGTCCTGGAGCACGGATTGGTCCTCACTGACTTTCAGAATGAAGGACTTAAGGCTCAGACAGGTGTTGGCAAACCCAACTCTGAAATCTGAAGGATTAAGTGGAGGGTTCTTATGCATCCCCCGGACCTGCATTGATTTAAGCGTCTGATGCTTCCTTCCTTTTCCCCTCAAGGGTGACAGGCTCCTTACACCATCCCTCAGGAAACAATCGCTGTGTAGATGATCTCATCCATCATCATGACTTGTCCACAAATTCCAACTCTTTGATTCTCATCATAGACACATCCAGGCTTCCCGGGTAGCTATAAAAATGAAGGGTCCAGGATATTGAAAATTATAATTGGGGAAACGTAGAAAATGATACCCTATGTTTTGGGGCATACATTCTCAATGAGGCGATATCACCTCCAAGGGACAAAAATAGGTTTGAGGGGAGGGATCAAAGAAGCTAACTCTTTTTTATGTCTGAAGCGCAAGTATATGCATAGTATATAAACAGATACACAGTATATCTGTGGTATTAAAATGTCTAATGGAAACAATTGGAAAAAGTCAGAAAAGACTCCTTAGGGGGACCACCGTCTCCTCCATCATCACCATCATCATCATCACCATCATCACCATCATCATCACCACCATCGTCATTTTAAAGAAAGGTGAAGGAACACTGCCTTCGAGTGATTTCCCAAGGAGATCATTCCTGCGGGATAACACTCTGCCAGCGTTACCTCCCCTCTCAGTTTCCTGCCGAGGTTAATGGGGAAATGGCCATTCGTTCCTCTCCAGGGACTTCAGTGGTGACATCACTGATACCCTCAGAGCAGGCAGTCACGAGGAAGGGCATCCAATGGTCTTGACGCCTGTGTCTGTCTTAGCGCTGAAGAGCTGATGCATCTCCGAGATGAGTCTGTAGAATCGCGTTCCTTTCCTTTCTATGAGTCACCAATACATAGTCACCAGGCACCAATATGGAAAAAGGGGCATTTTTAAAGACAAAGGGCATTTGCCGAAAGGACTGTTCTTTCCCATTGACTTGTGTTGGCAGTTTTTTTGAGCATCAACTGGCTGTAAATGTTAGGGTCTCTTTCTGGACTCTCAGTTCTCTTCCATTGATCTGTATGTCTATCCTTGCACCCGTAACACACAGTCTTGATGACTGTAGCTTTGTGGCAAGTTTTGAAATCAGGAAATGTGATATCAATGCTCTAACTTTTTTCTTCTTTTTCAACCTTGTTTGGGCTATTTTGAGTCCTTGAATTTCCACATGGATATTAGGGTCAGCTTGTCAAATTCTGCAAAGAATCCAGCTGTGGATCATTTGGGCTCCTTCACTGAGCGTGGACCAGGTCTGGGGGAGAGGTGTTGTGCAAGCAGGAGGACCCATCAGAAGACCACTGCCAGGATCAGGAAAGAAGATGGAGCTCTCAGCCGGCAGGAATCGTGGGGGTGCGGAACCCCCATGAGGTGTGGTGTGAGCCTGGCAGGCAGACCCAGCACGATTCCTCATAGGCTGGATGTGGAGTGAGACAGCCAGGGAGTCAAAGATAACTCTCTGGCTTCTGGACTTGGCAAACTGAGGTACCATACTGCCCTCGACCCATATGGGGCAAATGCCAGTCTGGGGAGTGTGGAAGACGTCATTGTGAGACAGTCGTTGCACAGGTTGGGTGTGAGGCTCTGCTGGATTTCAGGTCGAGTCGTCATCTAGGCAATGAGATCACTGAGTCTGACGTTTCGGAGGCACATCAGAGCTGGAAACGCACACATGGGATTCACTGAGATAGAGATGGTCCTTCAGATCACGTGCCTGGATGATCTCAGCAAGGCAGCGGGTGTAGACGGAGCAGCGGAGCAAGGATGGAGCCTTGAGCACTGCGGCACTGAGAGGCTGGGCGGAGGAGGGGGAGGGAAGGAGACAAGGAGGGCGACCAGTGAGGCGGGAGGGAGAACGGCGGCGGGGGGTGGGGGGGGGGGGTGATGCTCTAGAAGCTAAGTGGAGAATTTTTATCAAAGGGGACGTGTGATGAACCGTGCCGAAAACTGCTGAAGAGTCGGGTCACTCCCTCCTCTTTGTTCCTGGACGTTATTTATAACTCCTCTGCACCTAATCACAAGCTTTTCTGCTCCTTTTGTTTGTTCCCTTTTGTTATCGTCTGTGTCCTCCTCCAGAATGTGTAGCATGTGACAGTGCCAAACGTGTGGCCTTGTCTTCTGCGCTTTCCAAGTCGTTTAACACAATTCCCGTCACATAAAATGTCCCCGAGACATATTGGTTGAAAGGATGAATGAATGAATGAATGAGGGAAGGACGTGTTTAGACACATTCCCGTCCTCTCATAGGTCTTGTGTGTTCACATTCTTGTCTTCGCAGGGAGTCCCTACTCTACAGACGTCTTCCGAGCTCAGCCTCGACCACAATGAGCAAGTCTTCCACATCAGCTTATGAGTTCAAAGCAAATGGCGCCCTCCGTGTCGATCTTGAAGAATTCCGGCCTCTGATGACCGTCCTTCCTCTTGCAGTCTTCGTCTCCCTCTGGGGGCTGGCGGGGAATGGTCTGGTTCTTGGCCCCCTCGTGTTCTCTGTCAAGTGGGCCCACTTCACTGTCGTTATTTTCCATTTGTCATTGGCTGACTTTATCCACCTTTCCCGTCAGACGGTGTTTGTCATGTGAGTAATATTAATTCTCTTTCACAATATTTTGTTTCGTCTCAGGTACATGGACAGAGTGCTATTCACTTCATACACAGTTGGCCTCTGTCTCCTGACTGCCATCAGCATTGGACGCTGCCTGTCTGTCCCATTTCCCGTCTGGTACAGACACCGCTTGCCCAAGCACACGTCCACCATGGTGTGCATCCTGATCTGGGTCTTATCTATTACGATAAATGTACTGAGGATCCTACCCTGTAGAAATTTTTATGAGCCCATGGCTTGTCGTGTGTACACTGCTATCATTGGTGTGATTATTTGTGTTCTTTTTGTAACAAAAATGTGCATTCTGACTACATTGTTCAAAGTCAGGTCCGGCTCCCAGCGTAATCCGCCCCTCAAGCTTTATATCATCCTCCTGCTTAGGTTGTCTTCCCTTTGTCCTCCCGCCCTCTTTTTATTAAAATCTTCTTAGCTCCCTATGCTAACATATCCTATTTGTTTTCGCTTATGATCGTGCTCTCCTGTATGAGCAGCTCTGCCAACCCCTTCATTTATTACTTTGTAGGGAGATTTGGGAAGCAAAGGCATCAGGAACATCTGAGGGAGATTTTCCAGAGGACTCTGGGGGAAGAGGTGGATCCGAAAGGAGATACATCGAGTGGAGCGGTTAGTAGTTCAATCTGAGTAACCGGAAGGGACATAGTCAGGGCGCCTTTGAAATTACACAACTCTACTCTGCATGAATTTCTGATATACTCAGCCCCAATCCCGTATCTTTGTCCTCCACCTCTTCTGTCAAGGCCTGGAAACCACCTTTATTCACCATCCATCTGAGCCGGGATGTCTGGAGCTCATGGGTACAGGGTGAGCGTATCTTGCTTTGGATGGTCTTTCTCTCTACTCCATCCCTTGAGTGTTTTACTCTCCACACAATGCGAGCTAAGTCTTGCCAAACTCATGATCGGTCCACCGGGTCCAGGGCCCTTGGGGTGGGAGGAGCGAGCGAGGAGAAGCAGGTATTGGAATCCTGCTTTGATAAAACTATTCCTATAAACTTATATGAGCCACAGCGCCATTCTGAGGCTCAGCACTATCAATCAAAAAGTTTTATAGGAATTCTAGTCTCCCTTTTTTGGAATAAAATGAGATGACGTGTGAAATGGAAGAGGTCCATCATTTTAAATGAGTAAGTGCTGAATTCTGAGGTCAGACCGCCTTTTCCTCTCCTGATCCGAGTCCTTCTGCTTTGAGCGATCTGCTGTCTGCGCCCTGTCTTTCCTTTGTTTTATTCATCACTAGCTCAAATACCGACTTCGAGTTCACCGACATGTTTACTTATTGTCAGTGTAAAAAGAAACATGGCTTACGGTGGGAAAAATGCCTTCTGAGATTCTAGAGTTTGACTGATGTTCGGGAACACCACGACCCTCGCTTTCACTGAAACAGCAAATAAAGTTGCATTCAGCTGGGCAGTTTGTCTCTCTTCTCAAACATTTGGTGGGGCTATGTTCTTAGGTTGGTCACTGAGGGAAGTTGGTGGGAGAGAAGATTTCTGTGCCACTTCAAATTTGTAAATATTTAGAGTTCAAAGTCTCTCTAGCTGGCTTGATAGAGATTTACCCGATGTCTCTGGCTCTTTGGAACCCACTGACAAACAAAATCTAGAAGAATCATCCTTAAAAACACACTCTACCATCTCTGTTATTTGCTTCAGCCAGAACCCCATTGTATTTGTGAACATGGGGGATGGGGGATGAAGCGGAAGGCCCTGGGGAGCTATGGAAGAATCCATTCTACTAAGGTGGTGGATAGTGAGGAGATACAGAAGGACCACTGTGACGCAGACCATCAAAGGCTGGCACACACGTCACAGGCACAATCTCAGAAGTCAGTCTTCTTCCTACGGAGCTCAGCGTAATGACCCTGTGCGTCTGTCTGACAGGACTGCCATGATAAAATCCCACAGACTGGTGGCTTAACAGAAATTACTCTCTCACAGTTCTGGAGGCTGGAAGTCCGAGATCAAGGTGTCAGCAAGGTTGCTTCCTTCGGAGGCCTCTCTCGTTGGCGTGTACATAGCCATCTTCTGCCTGTGTCCCCACACGGTCGTCCCCTCTGCGCGCGTCTGTGTCTAATCCCCTTTTCTTATAAGGACTCCGGTCATATTGGATTAGGACCCACCCTTACGATTTCGTTTAACCCGAATGACCTCTCTAAAAGTCTGGTCTTCAAATATAATCAAATCGTGGGTTTAGGACTTCAATATATGCATATTCATATATGAATATATATTTGAGGGGGACACAGTTCTGTCCATAACATCATCTCTTAGAAAATCTACTGCAAATGGGGTGTTTGATATTTGGGTTGGTGTCCACTTTCATCTCTGATCTCTGATGGTTGTCTGAAATGTGGCCCAGACACCTAACCTGTGTCTTCAACGCCAGCCATGAATCTCCAGTTCCAGGAAAAGCTCACTTCTTCCAAAGATAAATAAACCCAAAGCAGCCTGGCCAGAATCTACACAAAAAAGCTACAAAAACAATGAATTAGGAAATAGTGAAAAAGAGGGCTGATGTCTCAGCGGTAACATTCCTCCCAAGGAGGAGACGGAACTTGTGACAAGTTATTTCACTTGGAATTGACACCGGTAGTGAAGAAACGAGCACTAATCACCAAGAATGCGTGTCAGAGATATGAGAGCTGCCTGTGGAAGGTTTTTAGGGAGCAGGAAGAGCTAAGATCTGGACTCGCTAAACAAACGAATCAACATAAATGAGAAGGAAATATCACACAAAGAAGGTGAAATTGGAGAACAAAGCAAAACACAGATTTATAGGATATAGATAATAAAAAACAAACAAAACAGACAGAAAAGAGTTAAAAGAATTTTTGCTCGTATGTGAAAATATACCTAAATTTTGTATATTGACCTTGTCCTGGGGACACTGAAATTTACTTACTAATTCTAATAAGTCATCTGGAGATTCTTTTGGATTCTCCATGTTTCTACTTTCTGGAAAATTCTAAATTATTGAATGTCCATATCACATCCCAGGAAGTATTTGACTCAGAATAGTGAAACACCTAGACCACAGCAAAGGAAAAACAACAAATTACATGTAATTGGAATGAGCATGTGATAGGTGTACAAACAGAGAAACTCTGGAATGACTTGGGGACTATTAATAATTATTCTGGGACAAAAGGCATTAAGTGGACTGTCTCAGGAACATATGGTGAGCCCATGAGTACTTATTTCTTTTTCTGAACTGCTTGAGTGAAGGTTGAAAACTAAGGTAGACATTGGTCTGAGATCTGAGACTTTTCTCCTTTCCTCACAGAGGTATTCACTGCTATGAATTTCTGTTTTCCTTAAGTGCCATCCCACGAGTATTGCTGTTTGTTTCATTTTCACTCAGTTCAAAATACTTTCTAAATTCTCTATTGACTTCTTCTTTGACCCATATATTGTTTAGATATGTGCTACTTAATTTTCAAATAATTGTGAATTTTCCCTGATGTCTTGGAGCTGTGCATTTATACTTTTCACCCAACTTGGAAAAATTTTGCCCATCACTTCTCCAAGTGCTTTTTCTGTCCCGTCTCTTTCAGGGACTTCAATTATGTGTCCATCAGACCAACAGTTTCCTTCAGCTCATGGACGTCCTTTTCACTTTTCAAAAAGCACCTCTCTGTGTTTTATTTTGGATGGTTTCTATTGTTATTTCCTCAACTTCCCTGCTCTTTCCTTCTGCAATGTCTAATCTGTCATTAATTCCCTACAGGATATTTTCATCTCTTGTGTTGTAATTTTGCTCTGTAGAATTTTAATCTGAATCTTTTTTGTATCTTTCACGTTTCTTCTTAAGTTTTGACCTGTAGAGTACTGTTCTAATAGCTTTCAGCATCCTTACCTGATAATTCTCATATCTGCACTAATTCTAGGTTGGTTTTGATTGAGTTTTCTCCTCCCTATAGGTGTGTTTTCCTACTTTTTTTTTTTTTTTTTTGAGGAAGCTCAGCCCTGAGCTAACATCTGCCAATCCTCCTCTTTTTTGCTCAGCAGGACTGGCCCTGAGCTAACATCGGTGCCCATCTTCCTCTACTTTATATGTGGGATGCCTCCCACAGCATGGCTTGCCAAGCAGTGCCATGTCCGTACCAGGGATCTGAACTGGCGGACCTCGGGCTGCCAATGCAGAACACGCGCACTTAACCACCGTGCCAGACCCTTCCTGGTTTTTTAAGGCTTGCTGATGATAATGCCAGATATTGTGGATTTTGTGTTGTTGGTTACTGGATAATTCTATACTTCTCTAAATGCTCTTGGTCTTTCTTCTTGGATCTGCTAAGCTATTTGGAAACGTTTGAATCTTTCAGGTCTTGCTTTTCAGTTTCGTTAGGTGGGAGCAGAGCAGTGTTTAGTTTAGGGTGAATTATTCTCCTCAGCAAGGAAAGACCCTTATGCATGGTCTACCCAGAGCCCCTGGACTTAGGAGGGTTTGTACTCTGACTGGTGGGGACAGGCACTTTTCCCGACCCTGTAGACATGTAGAAAGTCACTCGGGCACATGTGTGGGTCTTTCCCTCATCTTTCCACCCAGTTCCTTTCTCTGACTCTGCCCAGAGTCCAGCCCTGTGCTGCTGGGGCCCATTTTCCTAGGGACAGGGAAAATGGCCTTGGAGTGGGTAGACCAGCTCGAGGCTGGATGTGCTGCCTCAGTTTCATGTCATTGCTCTTGATGAGCAAGGGACTAAGATTGAGGTTGAGAACCCTTTGGAAAAATAGCTTTCATCCCATCTCATCCCTGAGAAAGAAGTCCCTGAGGGCTGTTCCAATACAATTCATGCACAGAGAGGCCAGCAACATGGTCCTTCCCTCACCTCATTGAACAGCATTGAACTTCATAGACACTCAGTCCTGGTCTGCTCAGGCCGTTGTAACAAAATACCATAGGTGGGGCGGATCATACAGCAGACATTGCACACTCACGGTCTGGAGGCTGGAAGTCCGAGATCAGGGTGTCAGCATGGCCAGGTGCTCGGGGAGGGCTCTCTTCCTGCTTTACAGATGGCCGCCTTCTCACTGTGTCCTCACAGGACAGAGAGACAGAGAGGGCAGCTCCTTCCTCTTCCTATAAGGACACTGGTCCCATCATGCAGGCTCCACCTCATGATCTCACGCCCTCCAAGGGCCCCACCATCTAATACCATCATATTACGTCTTCCACATGTGAATTTCAGGGCACGCAATCATTGAGTTCATAGCAGACTCCAATCAGAGTGTCTTCCCGTTCCAGGCATGGAGATGTAGTGGGGTTTCTGTGTCCCACACTTCCAGCTGCATTGTCACCTCTCAGGAACCACAGCAGCGGGACTGTGAGACCTGCCCATCCACTTGGAATGCACCATGCTCCTCCCTCCAACGTGAGTGTTAGCTCTGTGTGTGCATTGATGTCTCAGGACTCAGATGGGGGGTGCCATCAGCTCTGAAGTCTCCTTTCTGACCTAGGGATTATGTAGAAGTGGGACGTTTAGTCTCCCAATGTTTGGAGCCTCTCTTGGCACATTCATTAGAGAGATTAGTGTGCAGTTTTCCTGTCCT